AGGTCAAAGACACATCCGAGTGTCGCCCTGCGCTTGGTTCGGTTTTAGCCGCGCTCTGTCAACCTGGCAACTGGGAACATTCCTTGTCACAAGCACAAATGTATCTAGAGTCCGATCTCCGGGGCACCACACAGGGGCCCTCAGTTGTCATAGGCCCAGTGTTAAGTGCTATATGGGGTAGTGTAATTTTTAGAATGGTGATTTTTATTTTTTCTGTGTATCACTTTTGATACCACTGAGAGAAAGAGCTTCTATCCACTCATTCGTCCATCGATTTAACCACCCAATTACCCACCTACCCACCTATACACCTCTCTGTCGATCTGTCCATCTCTCCGTCTCTTAGTCCGTCCATCAGTCTGCCTATCTATAAAATAAAGTTCCTTCATTCGTTCTCTCAATGCCCACCGTAACAAACTGGCAACCATAGAGAAACGTGTACGAGAACATGTATATGCAGTGCAAACCTCGGACCACTAGAGTACGCATACAGTGCGTCAGTGGTACCGAATCGTGAGGGGAGAGGACCTGTTTCCTTGGACCCTCCCCACTCCTCCCCTCCTTTTTCCCCACCCATCCAATTTCAAGGAGACTAAGAGACCCAAACATGCATATAATTTATTTTTATGTTAGTAAATATACAACATTAAACAAGGCTTAGGACCCTTGAACAACTTACGCCTTCCCCCACCCATAGACAGTTTGTAAGCGTTCTCTATGTTAGCGCCCCTACATAATGTCTTGGCTCTGCTCTCTGGCTGACTGCTTGTAAGAAACGAAAATGTTCAGCCAAGCTGAAAGATCTAGGTGAATTTCGGATAGTTGGTGTCCGTGAGAGGGTCAGCAGTTGGTGTCCGTGAGAGGGTCAGCAGTTGGTGTCCGTGAGAGGGTCAGCAGTTGGTGTCCGAAGAAGGGGACCGTGATATAGAGAAGAGCGAGAGAAGGAAACAGTTGTAAAATATCCGTGACTAATGCGAGATCTGTTGACGTCCATAATTGACCAGTGGTTCACAACAACCCAGCGGATTATCAATGGCAAGAAATCTGAAGAAAGTAGATGCGGACGGCGAAATATTAATGACAATACCAACACAGCAAGTTCTACAATTGTGGATAGCACCAAATACTCAGAACTGCCGAAGTATAGGGGCTAACATGCTTGCCTTCTACGCTGTTGCCATGGGTTCAAATCCGCATTCAGGTTTAATAAACTGACCTGGGCCTCCATAGTAAAATAGACATCAAGGAAATGTTTTGGCAAGTAAAGGCGACTTGCATATCCTCAGTCACATAATCTATCGAGTGTCGATTAGTCAATACAAACATAGGACCAGCACCATATGTCTGGTGCCCCTGAAGTGGTAGAATGATGTACCATTGGACTTCTGCCCCTCACCTGACACCTAATAAGTGCCGTAGCGTACCCTGACACACGTGACATCGTAGAACAGCAGGGCAGCGGCTTCTTCAGTGTTCACTCCTAAGTGTTCACTTTTCTGCTGTGGATCAGTTTCGCTGCCAAATCAGCAACTTTCGGCCCAGCACAAATTAGATGCCTTTTACGACATTGATAGGAGCAGTTTATTAGGAGCACTAGCTCTATATATCCCCTCGCACACTTTTTCCCACCCCCGGAAACGGGACCCGGGAACGCAAACAAGGATTTTGGAACGCTAATTGATTACTTCTGTCTATCCGTTTATGTAGCAATTTTCAGAAGATTTGTCACGATTTTCTTGTTCGCGTTAGATTGTTATCTACTTCTATTTCCATTGCCTCAATGGGACTTCGTGAGAGTGTATAGTCGGGTGTCACTGACAGTGACATCACTCCAGTATGTATAACTATGTGTCACTGACAGTGACATCACTCCAGTATGTATACCTATGTGACACTCACAGTGACATCACTCCAGTATGTATAACTGTGTGTCACTGACAGTGACATCACTCCAGTATGTATAATTATGTGTCACTGACAGTAACATCACTCCAGTATGTATACCTGTGTGTCACTGACAGTGACATCACTCCAGTATATATAACTGTGTGTCACTGACAGTAACATCACTCCAGTATATATAACTATGTGTCACTGACAGTGACATCACTCCAGTATGTATAACTGTGTGTCACTGACATTGACATAACTCCAGTATGTATAACTGTGTGTCACTGACAGTGACATCACTCCAGTATGTATACCTGTGTGTCACTGACAGTGGTATCACTCCAGTATGTTTAACTGTGTGTCACTGACAGTGGTATCACGCCAGTAGGTATAACTGTGTGTCACTGACAGTGGTATCACCCCAGTAGGTATAACTGTGTGTCACTGACAGTGATATCACCCCAGTAGGTATAACTGCATGTCACTGACTGTGATATCACCCCAGTATGTATAACTGTGTGCCACTGACAGTGGTATCACCCCAGTAGGTATAACTATGTGTCACTGACAGTGGTATAACCCCAGTAGGTATAACTATGTGTCACTGGCAGTGGTATCACCCCAGTAGGTATACCTGTGTGTCACTGACAGTGACATCATTCCAGTATGTATAACTGTGTGTCACTGGCAGTGGTATCACCCCAGTAGGTATTCCTGTGTGTCACTGACCGTGGTATCAGCTTGGGTGTATATAACTGTGTGTCACTGACAGTGGTATCGCTTTGGGTATGTATAACTGGCAGTCACTGACAGTGGTATTGCCTTGGGTATGTATAACTGGCAGTCACTGACAGTGGTATTGCCTTGGGTATGTATAACTGGCAGTCACTGACAGTGGTATCGCCTTGGGTATGTATAACTGGCAGTCACTGACAGTGGTATCACCTTGGGTATCTATAACTGTGTGTCAGTGACAGTGGTATCACCTTGGGTATGTATAACTGTGGGTCACTGACAGTGGTATCGCCTTGGGTATGTATAACTGGCAGTCACTGACAGTGGTATCACCTTGGGTATCTATAACTGTGTGTCACTGACAGTGGTATCACCTTGGGTATGTATAACTGTTGGTCACTGACAGTGGTATCACCTTGGGTATGTATAACTGTGTGTCACTGACAGTGGTATCGCCTTGGGTATGTATAACTGTGTGTCACTGACAGTGGTATCACCTTGGGTGTATATAACTGTGTGTCACAGACAGTGGTATCACATTGGGTATGTACAACTGGCGGTCACTAACAGGAGTATCAGCCTGGGTTTCTATAATTTCATGATGTTATTGACAGTAACAGAAGGCAATAAAACATAAATTCACTCAGGACCATGAGTAGTTTATTTAGGCAGTTTAGTGAAGAGGCGAGGCCAGAGGTCAACATTCAAAACTATGCCTAATGGATCAGTTCTGAGCACACACACTCACCAATGCACACAAACTCCTCACACTCATATTGCAAATGTTTAGATTAAATAGGAGATTCATATTAAGAACATTTACCTCAAGCTTACACACAATAAATTTACTTTCTTCATAAGAGAGTGCAATTAAATCATGAAATATTTTCAGGATAGCCTTACCTGAAATAATGGCTAACTGTTAAATATGATAATGTGTGTGCACATTTTTTGTCTTTTCTTTATTCCGCCTCAGGGACTGTACTTGATGACCTGATACAACAGTGACTCAAAGAGTCATATTTCAGATGTCATTCCAGCAAGAACAGTTCCCTGATACCTTGTTCAACCTTAATAGTGGGACAATGTTGATGTCCCACCCTGTGTCTTAAAGGTTAGTGAATGAGTTTAACAATTTCATTATCACTGAGTACTATGGTTTAATTTCCATGGCGGATGGTTATTTACTTTTCACTGACACTGTACTTTGGTTTTTGGGCAGTAATACAAGTTCCATTGTAGACGAGATTGGGGACATAATATCCCTTAATTCAGCGGTAGGTAAACAATCTTTATTGTGGAAACAGCACACAATTTAACTGATACTTTGAATACACTGAGATGGAAGTGTTAATATCTAAGCTATAGTCATGAGACCTCCACAATGTAATAAAGTGAAAATGTGGAGCATGCTATCTACATCACAACATTATGTGGTCATGTGATTCTACATATGCAAACACTCCAAAATCTGCATAAACTAATGCACGTGACACCGTACAAGGTGAAAGTTTCCACTTCTGTGCTAATACAACCTCAAATAAGAGTACAATAACAGCTCATTTACACACGGGAATTTCCTCTTCATCTCATTCACCGGCTGTAAACTCCAATGCAAAGTTTTGATTGTTCATTTACTTCGGAACTGCAGTCTTGCTCCAGAACCTAAGTGTGCACATCCATTTTTCAGATCTGGTTTACCTGTATGCAGATTACTGGTTCCTTTCCTCTTAGGCAGATAAACTCCAACTTCAAAAAAAGCCCCTCCTGCTACATGCTTGTTGGGAAGCAGTGGGCCTATTCTTGTTTTCCCCCCACACGAGAGTCCCATAACCCATATAGGCAAGATATAATTAAATATTCAGAAATCATTTCTTTCATTTTCACTTTTTGAAATTTGAATAAAGAAGACACAAATGATAGATTGAATACTTAATTGCTGGCATATTATGATGTACCTCGTCAAAAAGGAAAAGAAAAAGTCATAAATCTGCATTTACCCCGATGCAACAAGCAGCTACTTTTGAATGTAGTCAATTTTGTGTTTCAGTTGGAAGGATTAATTTATTTGCTTCATTGTAATTAATTTTTACTGTAGTATGCACCTGACGAGATACAGTGGAATATGCCAATAGATTGTTCAATCTATTGTTTGTGTCTTCTTCGTTCAAATTCATAATGTGGGAAACATTGATTTGACTTTCTATAAGGTTTATAATTATTGTCATTCATCATTCTGATCAGTGGCCTGTCTGTAAAACAAGCGAGTGACTGATATGTTTTTCTTGATATGTAATAAACTGAGAATGCAGTAAATATTCATTGCATAATTGAATTCCAGATTCAGAAATCATCAGCGCTATCATTTTCACTTTCTATAATTTCTTCATAATCATCTTCATACTCATCATCTCTTCAACTGCCTGTTGGTGATCAGTCTCCTGTTTGGCAGTTTCTGAAGCAGACTCTTCTGCGTTTCCTGGCTGTGTTGCATCCGAGTCAGTAGTATCACGTGTGCCTGCAACTGGAGAGTTGTGGTTCTTGAGGCCCCCAGCAGTGGTATTCTGGGCATCATCTTGCTGTCCTTGAGTAACCTCCTCATCCTCACCTGCAGCAGCAGCAGCAACAGCTGCTCGAGTCCTCTCATGTCTTCCCTGTCGAGCCTTAGCTCTTGGCCTTGCTACAGGTCGCTGAGACAACACGGAACTGCTAACAGATGTATCCTCATCATTGGTCACATGACTGTTCTCGGGGGAAGTACCAAGAGACTTGTCAATGTTGGATGTCTGTTGATTACTGGAAACCTCAGCTCTGCGCTCACCTTCTCTAGATATCTTTCTCTCATTTATGGCAGGCTTCAACTGTCCATATGAATGCTTCAGTGCGTTTTCTTGTACACCAGTGTTGTGCTGAGAATCTTTAAGACTATTATCTATGTCTTCCTTGTCTGTTAAGCTGAGCTGGTAGTCTCTCAGTGTCTGGGATAAAGCCATCTCATTGTCATCATGCAGCCTCTTCTCTATCTCCTTCTTCTCCAGGCTGGCTTCAGAGTTGATGGTGCTGAGAACATCCCCAGTCTGGCCAAACTTCAATGTGTTCACAGACTCAAAGGTTGAATTTACATCCAGATCTGAGTTCACATGATTACTGCCCCTGTTTCTGCTGCTGTTGTCAGTTGTGTGTTCCCTCTTGTACTTGTTACTATAGTTACTGTCTGACACAGATGAAGAAACTTGTCCCCTAGAGACGGAATCTTTAAAACCAAGGTTTTTACGTAGGTCACTGATAACTTTTCTCATGCGATCCTGAAAGCATATTTAAAATGTGGTTCAGTTACTTATTCAGTTCGTAATCGTTTGTAATAAAATAACAGAATAAACACTAAACATTTTTCCAAAAATAAATGCACAGAACAAATGTACTAAATAAAAACACTGGGTGAATTTGTTTCTAAACATGAGAAACATTGACACAATGCAGAAGAGATACAGGAAGAAGATAAACTATCATGCTACAATTCAACCAGCCATTTAGAGCTTGTACTTGCCACTTTGGCTGTGTAGGCATGGGTACTTTCAGCTTGAGAATTTAGGGTCGCATTGCTAGTGCTGTTGCCACGGACTGTGCACAGTAGAATTTTTTCTTTTTCTTTAACAGAAATAATCCACAATTTTAATGACAATTCAAATTGGGGTCTTCTAGGCCTGCTGCTTCTCAAAAGATGTTATCGCCTGCTGCTACTTCGAGGAATAAGGCCTTCTGTTGCTGTTCTGTCTAAAGCATGTGATATTTTATGTTGCCAAGTGGCCAGTTATTTTTACCTGTCAGGTTTAGTGTGATAAGAGTGATGTCCTGCTTGATCATGATTGAAAATGATGAATGATGATGTCGATGAAGGGCACTGTGATAATTTTAAATGCCGAAAATCTTCTTCTTCTTCTTCGCATTCACCAGTTATAAACTCTGGCGGAAAGTTCTGGTTGTTCATCCACTTTTGAACTGGTGGGGGTGGGTTGGGGGGGGGATGAATAGACCTGCTGCCCCTTAACAACCATGTAATAAAAGGGTGTTCCATCTGAAGCCTGGGTGCACCTGCCAAAGAGCAGAGAACCAACAGTCTGCATACAAATAACCCGGATCTGTACAACAGGTATGCAGGCGAAAATTCAAGCTCTAGAACAAGACTGAAGTTCAAAGTGGATGAACAACCGGAACTGCAGGACGTTTACAACTGGGGAACATGAACAACCAGAATTGCAGAAAGTTTACAACTGGGGAACATGAACAACCAGAACTGCAGGAAGTTTACAACTGGGGAACATGAACAACCAGAACTGCAGGAAGTTTACAACTGGGGAACATGAACAACCAGAACTGCAGAAAGTTTACAACTGGTGAACATGAACAACCAGAACTGCAGGAAGTTTACAACTGGGGAACATGAACAACCAGAACTGCAGGAAGTTTACAGCTGGGGAACATGAACAAGAAGAAGAAGAAAGCAATAGCCAGCAGGTACTATAACAATAGAGCGCTGGTGTACTTACCTCATCCAGGTCATCCTTGCGACGCACAATGTGATTCTCAAACACCTTGTCTAGAACACTGCAACAGACACAGGCACTGGTCAGCTCATAACATATGCTACTTGCTGGAGTTTCTAAGGCTAAAAGCTTCCTATTCACATGATAATGGCACAAGCCGAGGTGATCAGTTTCTTTCTTTTCATCACTTTCTCCCTGTGTGGGCTCCGTGGCCTCATTTAGGAGAACAAAGTATTCACGCCCCCAACAAACATGTTGACGGAGGTGAATAATTAGGGGTGAAGTTGAAACCTCAACTACGACTAAGACTTCTTCTTCTTCTTCTTCGTGTTCACCAGCTGTACACTTTGGCGGAAAGTTCTAGTTGCTCGTCCAGTACTGAACTGCAGTCCTGCTCCAGAACTTGAGTGTTGCGTGTGCATCAGTTTTACAGATATCATTTTCTTGAATACAGACTGTTGGTTCCTTGCCTCTCCGGTAGATGCACTCCGACTTTAAAGGAAGCTCCCCAATTAGTCGACTCTTACCACATGCTTTTGGGGAGGCAGTGGGTCTGTTCTTGTTTTCCCCACAATGGGGCCCCGGAACCCACACGGGGGACGACTAAGACTAAACATTTGGGGTGAAGTTGAAACCTCAACTACGACTAAGACTAAACATTAGGGGTGAAGTTGAAACCTCAACTATGACAAAGACTAAACATTAGGGGTGAAGTTGAAACCTCAACTACGACTAAGACTAAACATTAGGGGTGAAGTTGAAACCTCAACTACGACAAAGACTAAACATTAGGGGTGAAGTTGAAACCTCAACTATGACTAAGACTAAACATTAGGGGTGAAGTTGAAACCTCAACTACGACTAAGACTAAACATTAGGGGTGAAGTTGAAACCTCAACTATGACAAAGACTAAACATTAGGGGTGAAGTTGAAACCTCAACTATGACAAAGACTAAACATTAGCGGCGAAGTTGAAACCTCAACTATGACAAAGACTAAACATTAGGGGTGAAGTTGAAACCTCAACTATGACAAAGACTAAACATTAGGGGTGAAGTTGAAACCTCAACTACAACAAAGACTAAACATTAGGGGTGAAGTTGAAACCTCAACTATGACTAAGACTAAACATTAGGGGTGAAGTTGAAACCTCAACTACGACAAAGACTAAACATTAGGGGTGAAGTTGAAACCTCAACTACGACAAAGACTAAACATTAGGGGTGAAGTTGAAACCTCAACTACGACTAAGACTAAACATTAGGGGTGAAGTTGAAACCTCAACTACGACTAAGACTAAACATTAGCGGCGAAGTTGAAACCTCAACTATGACAAAGACTAAACATTAGGGGTGAAGTTGAAACCTCAACCACGACTAAGACTAAACATTAGGGGTGAAGTTGAAACCTCAACTACGACAAAGACTAAACATTAGGGGTGAAGTTGAAACCTCAACTAGGACTAAGACTAAACATTAGGGGTGAAGTTGAAACCTCAACTACGACAAAGACTAAACATTAGGGGTGAAGTTGAAACCTCAACTACGACTAAGACTAAACATTAGGGGTGAAGTTGAAACCTCAACTACGACAAAGACTAAACATTAGGGGTAAAGTTGAAACCTCAACTATGACTAAGACTAAACATTAGGGGTGAAGTTGAAACCTCAACTACGACTAAACATTAGGTGCTGTTTCCTCAAAGTCACAGTGTATCTGAGAGGCAAGGGATCAACAACATGCACACAGATGTAGAGCAGATGTAGAGCAGATGTAGAGCAGATGTAGAGCAGATGTAGAACAGATGTAGAGCAGTTGTAGAACAGATGTAGAGCAGATGTGGAGCAGTTGTAGAGCAGTTGTAGAGCAGATGTAGAGCAGATGTAGAGCAGATGTAGAGCAGATGTAGAGCAGATGTGCATGCAAAACTCAATTTCTGGATCCAGAAAATGGATAACAACCAGCACTTTCTCCTGGAGTTTACAGCCTGTGAATGCAAAGAGGAACACGATTGCTTTCCTCTATTTGTACAGTGGGATGTGGTTCTGTAGGTACAGTGGGATGTGGTTCTGTAGGTACACGGGGATGTGGTTCTGTAGGTACAGTGGGATGTGGTTCTGTAGGTACAGTGGGATGTGGTTCTGTATGTACACTGGGATGTGGTTCTGTACGTACAGTGGGATGTGGTTCTGTAGGTACAGTGGGATGTGGTTCTGTAGGTACAGTGGGATGTGGTTCTGTAGGTACAGTGGGATGTTGTTCTGTACGTACAGTGGGATGTGGTTCTGTAGGTACACTGGGATGTGGTTCTGTAGGTACAGTGGGATGTGGTTCTGTAGGTACAGTGGGATGTGGTTCTGTAGGTACAGTGGGATGTGGTTCTGTAGGTAGTGGGATGTGGTTCTGTAGGTACAGTGGGATGTGGTTCTGTAGGTACAGTGGGATGTGGTTCTGTAGGTACAGTGGGATGTGGTTCTGTAGGTACAGTGGGATGTGGTTCTGTAGGTACAGTGGGATGTGGTTCTGTAGGTACAGTGGGATGTGGTTCTGTAGGTACAGTGGGATGTGGTTCTGTACGTACAGTGGGATGTGGTTCTGTACGTACAGTGGGATGTGGTTCTGTAGGTACAGTGGGATGTGGTTCTGTAGGTACAGTGGGATGTGGTTCTGTAGTTACAGTGGGATGTGGTTCTGTAGGTACACTGGGATGTGGTTCTGTAGGTACAGTGGGATGTGGTTCTGTAGGTACAGTGGGATGTGGTTCTGTAGGTACAGTGGGATGTGGTTCTGTAGGTACAGTGGGATGTGGTTCTGTAGGTACACTGGGATGTGGTTCTGTAGGTAGAGTCGGATGTTTTGAGAATACCATGAAATAATAGAGAAAGAAGGCAGTCCTCCTCAAGATACGTGAAAAACCGAAACTGATTATAGAAATTAAATTCAGACAATAAGTATTTTTCTGATATTCTGAAAGAAGAAATGGACTCAGGAAATCAGCAATAACTGGCATAATTGATGGGAAAAGAGCAAGGGGAAGGTAAAGAGATAAATACCTTTATAGCTTGGCCACATGAACAGGTTTAATGTCAGAAGAAGGGTCAAGAACACTGACCTGATCCATGATGCTGGTAACCACATGAGGTGATAAAACATGATAGCTTATGCTTATTGGCAAGACCAAAGGAATGATTTCTCTAACTTGGAGACCACTGAAGTACCTTTATTTACAAACTAGTGCATTGTCCCTTTCATGCCTTTCATCCCTTTCATGCCTTTCATCCCTTTCATGCCTTTCATCCCTTTCATGCCTTTCATGCCTTTCATGCCTCTACTGAAGGGAGTAAGTCCTAACCCAAGGATCTGCAGTAGTGCAGTAGTGAGCCCACTTGCCTGCCAGCCTGATGGTCAGACGTTCAAATCCCTCTAGAGGCAAGGATTTGTTTTAACAACTCGACATAGTCTAAACTGTGTTTGAGAAAATACTATGGTCAGTAATGTTGACCAACACATCCCACATTGATGCAGATGGTCTGTATAAACAGGGCTCTAGCATCCCACATTGATGCAGATGGTCTGTATAAACAGGGCTCTAGCATCCCATATTGATGCAGATGGTCTGTATAAACAGGGCTCTAGCATCCCACATTGATGCAGATGGTCTGTATAAACAGGGCTCTAGCATCCCACACCAACAGTGAATGCCGCAAGATCTTCAAAAGGGACTTTTCCTTAAGCACTGTCATAATCACATGGTTGTGATTTTGTTTACAAAGTAAGAGTAGAAAAATTGCCCTTATGGACAAAATACGAGTGAAAAGAGACAGATGAATACAGAAAAAGATAATAATAAGTTTAGCAACAATTAATGATGTTAGTAGCTTTAACTTTGTCAGAATTGTACGGGACAGAGAGGTTATAACGTCATGATTGACCAATGCCTGGGCACATAAAGAAAGACATCTGCAGAGGTATTCAGTCAAAAATATGTGCCCTAGGTTCTAACAATAAATGATTGCTAGGAAGGCTATGAGGTTTAAGGTTTGAACAACGGATCAACATCATAACACATGGGTAGTAACCCATAAGTGCTTCGTTCTTCTTCTAACTCAAGTCTGAGTCCAAAGAAGCTCAGCACAGTGCACAGGCTCTGTAGCACCGGTGAGGATCCTGAAATACTTTGGGTAGATTTTTGACCGGGCAGTGCTGTTAGGCTACTCTTTTCGATTTCCAACTGCCAAGGGATTTTGTTTTACATGCGCAACAATGCACACGGGCATTCGATCTTCCTACACAGAGACATGGGGAGGGGGGGGGGGGGGGGGGAAAGAAGCCCAAGTACACGTGAAAAAGTCTCTGCCCATATGGGGATTGAACCTAGAACCTCTAGCACTCGAGGCGGACAATATGCCTCAAGACCACGCAGCCCACAGGACAGTTATGATAACGTGGAATTAAGAATTGACATCATAGCACTCAATGCTACAATCACAACCCTGTCAGTGCTATAATCACAAATTTGTCAGTGCTACAATCACAACCTTGTCAATGCTACAATCATAATCCTGTCAAGGTTACAATAACAAATCTGTAAGGGCTACGATCACAAATCTGTTAAAGACACAATCCCAACCATGTCAGTGGTACAAATGAAACAACAAAGAAGTGACATCATCACCCACCTGTCTGAAGAGATTCCCCGAGACAGCACATCATCCGTGACTTCTTTAGCAAAGGCAAGGTACTTCTGTTCCTCGTCCCTAGAGTACATTCACAAGTTTTATTCGTGTATCCTTTACAGAACCCCGGCATATGTGGCTGTTGGGTTTTACTGGGCAATTTTATCTTCAGTAGTTATATTATAGACACAAGAGAGATATGTCTTTATGAGGCAAACCGTTGTCTGACAGCACGAAATAGGCACACAATGACCTATGTTAATAAATTATAGGCAGTAACACATCCAAAGGACAAAGTAGGGGATGGCTAGGAATGAAGAAGGATGTACAGCACAAAGCTGACCAACAACATGAGAGAAAGTCTACACCAACACGTCCATGGTTGAGGCAGCCAGAAGAGTAGGAAGCATAACTTTAAATCTCCCTCGACACCTGAAGTGGTAAAAGGGGAAGTGAAGAAGTAACACCTCCTCTACCTTAAGGCCTGATCACCATAACTGACTGCCCAAATCTGGGTCATTACAGTCAGGACTGTGTGTATGTGTGCGCACGCATGCATGTGCGTATGCATGGGTGTGATTGTCTGTATTGTGTGCCCGCATGCTAAACATGTGCATTGTAATCATAAAAAATACACACACACCCAAAGTTCTTATTGTCCTCATCCTCTTTCTGTATGAAACTGAATTGAAACCTCATCCCCTTTCTGTATGAAAACGAATTGAAACCTCATCCCCTTTCTGTATGAAACTGAATTGAACCCTCATCCCCTTTCTGTATGAAACTGAATTGAAACCTCATCCCCTTTCTGTATGAAACTGAATTGAAACCTCATCTCCTTTCTGTATGAAACTGAATTGAAACCTCATCCCCTTTCTGTATGAAACTGAATTGAAACCTCAGCTCCTTTCTGTATGAAACTGAATTGAAACCTCATCCCCTTTCTGTATGAAACTGAATTGAAACCTCATCTCCTTTCTGTATGAAACTGAATTGAAACCTCATCCCCTTTCTGTATGAAACTGAATTGAACCCTTATCCCCTTTCTTTATGAAACTGAATTGAAACCTCATCTCCTTTCTGTATGAAACTGAATTGAACCCTTATCCCCTTTCTGTATGAAACTTATTTGAAACCCCATCCTCTTCTCTGTAACCTATGCTCTGCTATTTAAACAATTGGTAACAACAAATATTCTTGGAAAATACACTCTTATATTATGCTATTTACTTGTGCTTCAGTACTGAAAATGAAGCTATCAAACTAAAAGCTAGAATAAAGTGTTCAACATGTATTTGAAAATGAACTTATCAAATCAAAAACTAGAACACACAATTTAACTACTGGCAGTTGGGAGGGAGGGGAGGGGATGAAATGTATATGTAAAATGATAGCTCCATAAACACAGTCAACATACTTAAAAAGGACGTTTATACATGCCTCTCTTATTCTGTTGTTTATCTCTGGGATACATCTTCCATCAGATGTTCTCTGGGTGCCTAGATACCTACTGTTCTGTATTTGTCCTTAAATAATGCCTTAGCTTTTATTATACATTTAGGCACTGTCCTTTTCTTTGAAGCTACCATTATTTCTGTCTTCCCATTATTCAAGCTGAGGCCCATTTGATCCCTTTCTATTACCACCGTATTCTAGTATCTCCATAGTTTTGTTCTGACGTATTGCTATCAGTAGGGTGTCATCAGCATAAAGCAGAATGTTCATGTTATGACCCAACCAAAATTCCAAGCCAGATCTGATTATATAGTCACTGTATAACAAAACACTAGGTGGCAGTTCACATCCTTGTCTTCTGCCTCTCTGTATGCTCTACATAGGGAGTGTCTCCAAATGAATGTGTATACATCAATCAGAACTCAACAGGTGAGGTCATCTCAATCATGCCATTATTTGCACTTCCCCAAACACTTTCTGGTAACTATTTAACAGAGCTGACCTTGGAGCTCAGGTCAAGTTATAGCAATCAACACTTTGAGGCTGATTCGAAAACATGGCAAGTCTGCAAACAGGCAACACATTCAGTTATAAATGTCCCCATGTGGGTTCTGAGGCACACACTAGAGCCAAACAAGAACGAAGTAAAAGATGACCAATGAGGAGTTCGAATAAACTGGATGTTTCAGGCCAAAAAAGTGCAGATATCACAGCCGAGCTGTAAACCATAAACCAAACACAAAGAGGCAACTGCTTTTCAAAAAGCAAATTCAGAAAAAAGGCCTTTAAAATGTAAACTATAAAATGAAAAAAATATTTTAAAAAAGAAATAGCAATGCCTGCAAGAACAAACTGGCAACTGAAACTGTGTGGTTTACTCACTCCTCAAACAACCTCTGACTTATCCACAAAGATGACGGAGAACGTGACACAGAAGATCTATACGTGCCCAGACGTCTCTGACTGATCCAAGGAGAAAATTGTTAGGAAACATCAAAATGTTGTGGCTTCTGAATCCAGTATATGGAATATTCAGGCAACATATAACACATACAAATGACATAGAATACACACACACACACATATATATAGACAACACATTATACAAGCAACATATTTCATATACAGATGACACAGAATATATATACACAATATACATATACAAGACACAACATATATTACTTTTAATCTTTTACAGATAAATAAACAATAAAAAATATGTAGAAAAAACATAACATACACAGACAAGACACAACATAGACAGATAAGACACAACATACATACACAACACACAATGTACAAAGATAAAAACAAAAATACAAAATATGATAAGTGTATGTCAAACAGTTCTTAAGCTAAGGTACTTTTAGTACACACTGATCTCTGGAAAAGTGCAAGGGTTAACAGGCATGGTAGTCAGTGGGTTAAACTGAAATGCTTCAAAAACATTTGTAAGACTACTGTTGCACAAGCAAGAATGAAAATACAATGGAACGTCAGAATACAATTGTACCTGAATATAAGTTTTTTCAATTTTTTTATTTAAGAATAAAGACCAGGCTCAATAACTTATATTTTGCCCCAGAAAATGAGGCCAATTGCAGAATGTGAGCTGGAGAGACGAGAACTCTCAGTAATATCCGACAATATCTCCATAACATTTTAATTGGATTAGGTCAAGTTTCCATTGCCAGTTGAAAAGATAAGTGTTGATGACAGAATGTGGCAACATGGTCGGAAGTAACCGTGTGACCTGCTGCTGGCAAATACAAAAAAGCAGAGTCCAACATTCTCCTCATTAACGAAACAAAAAGGGTCATTATGAGAGATAAACTTGTGAAACAAAGATCTATTTTAAAATGTGTCAAAGAAAAAAACCGATGTAAATTTACTTTCTCTGCTTCTCCATGCGGTTGTCTGTCTCCGTATCAGACCCTGGGCTGCGGTATCTCCTCACTGAGTGGAGCTCTTCGTCTGGGTGCAGTGATGATTTCAGCCGGCCACTACTGCGAACCCTGACCTCAGCTTTGCTGGCTTGTTCCTGCAACCAGTTCATGTGATCCTTGTCCACAGTGATAGCCAATGGTGGGACGCCATTTATCGTCTCTTGACTGCAAGCCTCGTCTCGACTACGTATGCTCATATCCATTAGCATAGAGCTGGACAGTTTTGCTGTGCCGCCTTTTTCCTCAAGGTCATATCCTGGATTCTCACTGACCTTCTGAGGTGAGTTATTCCGTTGTGGTGGTTGAAATTGCGACTTCTGTTTCTTATTCTGAATTCTGCCTTTCTCAATAATGTTAATAGTATCTTTTGAATAATTTGACATTGTATCTTGTTTGCTATTTTTATCTGCAACTATCTCATAATTTTCTTTCTTGGAACTTTTATTGCGAGGAGGGTTGTAGCAATTGGAATTTTTCAGTCGAGACTCTGTATTTTTCTTCAGTGTTCTGGGAGTGAATGGTCTTTCTGGCTCCGTAAAAAGATGTGGCCGCTTTTCTAGCACATCTCCAATACAAGTTCTCTTGACCAGAGACTGGTGGCCAAGGCTACTCGAGAAGGTGAGCTGGTCAGTGAGTGGCCAGATCTAACGGAATGGACTGAAGGAGGATGGTCATACATGACTGCGCCGTAGGGTGAGGTTTCATGTATGTTAGTGGACATATGTTCATAGTACGGGTCCATGTGTAGTTCTGCACCGTATGTGGCATTGTTGCTGGTTCTGGACTTGTCTAAGAGTGTTGATCTCATGATGGAATGAACTAGCTTCTCCTCTTCATCTTCTGGTTCATCCTGAAGATCGAAACAAAACCAAATCTAGCATATTTTCTACAGGACAGGCGAGAGAGAGAGAGAGAGAGGGAGAGAGAGAGGGGGGAAGAGAGAGAGAGAGAGGGGGAGAGAAAGAGATAGAGAGAGGGAGGGGGAGAGAGAGAGAGGGAGAGAGAGGGACTGGTAGTCTGGTAGTCTGGTAGTCTTAGTTTCAGCTTCATAGCAAACGGGTCGCCCCATCTTTGCTCCGCTCCTGTGCCAGCGAAAAACACCCAGAATGTTCATCACAGTCCCTTGTGGAAAGATTGACAGACTGCTGTCTCAGCATATCTAGCATACACTCGCATTAACGCATATGGTAGCCATCCGAAGTGCTAACACAAACAGTCCAACATTAGAAATGTAGTTCATCATTGATGATAGCAGAACTTGTCGCCAACAGATCAGCAGTTGCCCGGGCGATCAATTTTAATACGGGTCCCGCCAGCATTGCACGACCGGCATCGCGCCATTTTCTGAATCTACAATTCACACCACGTTGGTCACAGTCGAAAAAACATTCCAAATGCAATCCGCAGCTCACAGGGTCACGCCATGCATTCAACTCAGAAGCTGGGCGACGAAACTATATCCAGTCTACAAATGGAGCAAAAATTCTTCGGCCACCGTCCGGCAGAAGCAAAAAAATTTGCCTCCGCTCCGAACAGCGCCGCTGTCTAGCGTCCATTTTAACCGGAAGTCTCACAGAGAGAGGGAGAGGGAGGGAGGGAGAGAGAGAGAAAGAGAGAGAGGGAGAGAGAGAGGGAGGGAGGGAGAGAGAGAGAAAGAGAGAGAGGGAGAGAGAGAGAGATGAGAGAAAGAAAGAGACAGAGACAGAGACATAGAAAGAGAGAGTGTGTGTATGTGTGCGTGTGTTCCCTATACATGTCTGGTCATATGTCTGTGTCTGCATGTTTGAGTGTACTTGTCTGCATCTGGGCATCTGAGCATGTATGTTAGTGTCTATACGAGTGAAGCAGAATTCAAACATTCAGAACAATCAAGAATAACTGAAATATTCAGGCACTAAAAAAAATGTTAACTTTCAAGTAGAATACACAGAATTCAAACATTTAGTGCAACAAACAGACTTCAAACATTCAGATGGAAAAAAACAAAATTCAGACATTCAAATGAAGCAAACAAAATTCAACCATTCAGGTAAAAGAAACATTCAGGTCAACCACTATTTACCTTTAACACATCTTCATAATCAGACAAGACTGTCCCAGACCTGGATGAGCGTGAACGAGGCTGAGAACTTCCAAGAAAGCGACTACGGTTCATCCTGTCTCGCACTGTACACAGAAACAAAATTCACTGTCATTTTTCTGAGCAACCACTTTCAACCTCTTCTTTCTTAACCCTACCAGAGACATTGTAGATAACCGGTCTGCCTTTCATCTAGGGCCAATATTCCACCTTTGTGAGCCAATCCACCCTGCGGGGTGAGCCATGTTTCACACAGAGGTACTTCTTGTAAAGTGAGCACCAGATGTGGCTGGCTCTTCACACTCTTGCATGGATTCTCTTTGTAAGACACTCCAGGATTGGGATCTAGTTTTAGATCTATTAGATTCTCCTCATCACTCGAGCTCTCATTGTCTGTGTCACTTGAACTGGAAACATATTCTTGATGAAATTCCCACTCCTCAGAATCTGAATCAACCACAGTATTGACCACCTGTTGGACTGCGAAAAGCCTAAATCTACTTCCTTTCCTGTTGAAGTGTTTGGTTCATCAGCCGCTCGTTTCATTGTCAATTTTCAGAAATGTTTCATGGTAAACCACACAAAGTCAATTCAAACACATGGGGGCAGACATTTGAAATTGCAAACCATGAGGTTCGACACGACTGGTTTGCTATTTTCAGTTTGTGATGCATTTTTTTCATGTACTCGGCAAAGTACTAAAAATAAGGTGAATAAGGTAAATGGTTCCCCCCTCTGTTTATTTATAGGAATGACGTATACACACCGGAGGCTACCAATCAAAAACCTTTCTTAAATGTTTGTGTATTCTAGACAAAGCAATAAGGTCTTACTGTGTTCGTAAATTGTTGCTGTGATTGTTATTTGACATTTGCTTCGTTAATATAAATTTCTGTAACCTATGGTGCCATTTCAATGGGTTGAAATGAATTCTGTCCGTATTCCATAGTCGTGGATTTCAAGCTGTACGATAGACATGGCCAATGAGACACCTTTTTTGGGGGGTGCCTAGTTGACCATGTATCTTAGTGCACTTGTATTCATGGCGAGGCGCAGACGCCGTCTGGAGGTGACAGGTTCAATTCCCGGCACGGTAACTATAGCTTTCGATTTGTATGTTGTCTAGTGTGTTCTTCTATCTTTCTACTTCTTTCTATGAGTGCCGTTCACAATACTTTCTGTTACTTGATTAATTCATTTTAAAAATAAGGTACAGCAGCCGATTCAGAAATTACTAAAAAATCAGGGTTAAAGACTAAGTATAATCTTTGGTCCATTCACTGCCACTATTTCATGTTAAGAAAAGCTCTGATTGCATACATGCCTGCTAACCTTGTGGTTTTCAGTTCAAATCCTTCTTGAGGCAGACATATCTCTCAAATCAGTCTCAACTCCCAGATAAACTCAGTCTAACATTCTTCTTCTGCCATCCTGTGTTATTTCCACCCCCCCCCCCCCACCCCCCAACTACCAATTCCAGCCTCATTCCAACAGATGTAAGTATTTTTTTTAGAATTCACATGAACTGAACTGGATATAAAGAGTTAAAGTTAAATCTTCCACTACCAGAAGAACTGACAGAAGTAGGCAATGTTATGAAATTACCATGATGAAAACCATGAGTGCATTACTTTCAAAGCTTCCTGTGTGGGTTCCTGGGTCCCACTGCGGGGGGAAATAAGAGCAGACCCACTGCCTACCCAAAAGCATATCGTAAGAATCGATTAAATGGGAGCTTTCTTTGAAGTGGGTGTACATCTGCCCAAGAGTCAAGGAACCAACAGTCTGCACGCAAATGAGTCAGACCTGTGAGACAGATGTGCATGCAACCCTCAGTTTCTGCAACAGGACCAGAGTCCAGAAGTGGATGAACAACCAGAACTTTCTGCCGGAGCTCAAAGACGGTGAATAAGAAGAAGAAGACTTTCAAAGTGGCAATGTACCCAGGACTGGTGACCACTGGAAAAGCCAGGTGTCTTTAGTATCTTCTTACCAAATGTTAAAATTAAGGGATCACATTATGCTATAGAGTCAAATCAATAACTAAAGTCATTCAGACATCTGAAGTTGCCTGGAACTGAAATAGGCTGAGTCTCCCAGAGGACAGCCGAAACAACCAGCCGACGTTGTTTTGTATCACAATGATACAAAAGGCAAGTTCTTGAACATATTACAACAGGGAAAAGTGGGAGCTTACTTTTCTGGCTTGCCATCAGACTCTTGGGAGGCCTGGAGTCTATTGCAGCTGAAAGTACACAACGAATCATTTTTTAATGTTAACATAACTTAGAGGAAAGTGTTAACAATAATTAGAATATGTTAAAAATGAGAACAATGTGACAAGAAAGGTTAATAATCCAGGATTACTAGAGAGTGTTACAAATATGAACAACATAATATACCACCTTAACAAATAAGGACAATTTAACCAGAATTGTTACCAAACAAGGATATTATAAAAGTGGTAACAGAAAATATAAAAAAAAGCATTTTAACAAAGAAGGAAAATATTACAAGGAATGTTAACAAACAAGGTAAATGTAACAAGAACAATGTAACAATAAGAAAGATCAACAAGAAACACAAAACCATAATGTGATTTGTGAAGCTAACAAGTAATTATTTTACAAACACTAACTGATGAATTTTAACAAATGGTTGGTTGACCAGAGTAAATGAGCTGAGCAGCACAGTTAGGACATTAACAAAGGCAAGAATGTCCTGGGCCAAGATTTAGTCTCTCATAACTGCGTTTGTGTAAAGTTGACCAGCAAGAATGTCTTGGGCCAAGATTTAGTCTCTCATAATTGTGTTTGTGTAAAGTTGACCAGCAAGAATGTCCTGGGCCAAGATTTAGTCTCTCATAACTGTGTTTGTGTAAAGTTGACCAGCAAGAATGTCTTGGGCCAAGATTTAGTCTCTCATAATTGTGTTTGTGTAAAGTTGACCAGCAAGAATGTCCTGGGCCAAGATTTAGTCTCTCATAACTGTGTTTGTGTAAAGTTGACCAGCAAGAATGTCCTGGGTCAAGATTTAGTCTCTCATAACTGTGTTTGTGTGAAGTTGACCAGCAAGAATGTCCTGGGTCAAGATTTAGTCTCTCATAACTGTGTTTGTGTAAAGTTGACTAGCAAGAATGTCCTGCGCCAAGATTTAGTCTCTCAAAACTGTGTTTGTGTAAAGTTGACCAGCAAGAATGTCCTGGGCCAAGATTTAGTCTCTCATAACTGTGTTTGTGTAAAGTTGACCAGCAAATATGTCCTGGGCCAAGATTTAGACTCTCATAACTGTGTTTGTGTAAAGTTGACCAGCAAATATGTCCTGGGCCAAGATTTAGTCTCTCATAACTGTGTTTGTGTAAAGTTGACCAGCAAATATGTCCTGGGTCAAGATTTAGTCTCTCATAACTGTGTTTGTGTAAAGTTGACCAGCAAGAATGTCCTGGGTCAAGATTTAGACTCTCATAACTGTGTTTCAAAGTTGACCAGCAAATATGTCCTGGGCCAAGATTTAGTCTCTCATAACTGTGTTTGTGTAAAGTTGACCAGCAAGAATGTCCTGGGTCAAGATTTAGTCTCTCATAACTGTGTTTGTGTAAAGTTGACCAGCAAGAATCTCCAGCTTGATTGAACCAACACAAGAAGAACTAACCCAGGTACACTTCCATAACAACTAAGGAGTGATAATATTTGCTCCAGAAATCATGTTTTGTTATTTCTTTCGTAGCATTCTTCTTCTTCTTCAGCATTCTCAGCCCTATAAGTTTACTGCTGCAGATGATCACCAGCCTCATTTCATGTCTCTGACTGCCCTTCTGTTGTCAGTTGGTGATTGCAAGTGTCTGTAGATCTGCCCGTATATGATCTCTCCACCTTCTTCTTTGTCTGCCTCATGGTGTGCACCCATTCAACTGTTTTGTGTATGCAGTTTTTGTCTCTCTGTCATCTGGCATTCTTTCTAAAAGCCCCAACCATTGCAGCCTATTAGGCTACATGACACCAGTAACTAGTGGTGACGGAAATACATTATTTGTAGCATTAAACAGAACAGAAAGAGAGAGAGAGAGAGAGAGAGAGAGAGAGAGAGAGAGAGAGAGAGAGAGAGAGAGAGAGAGAGAGAGAGAGAGAGAGAGAGAGAGAGAGAGAGAGAGAGAGAGAGAGAGAGAGAGAGAGAGAGAGAGAGAGAGAGAGAGAGAGAGAGAGAGAGAGAGAGAGAGAGAGAGAGAGAGAAACAGGAAGTCAGCTACAGCTTGCTTACATTTAGCCTTGACTATCTTGGTGTAGTGGTTGTTCATGTGATCCAGCACCAGAAACTGGGAGGATAACTTGCAGGCTGTGGGGGCCAAGGCTGCCATGGAACATTCAAAATATGAATGTTTCATGTTGTCAGAGTAAATATGTCAGGTACACGTTAATTCTTAGCATCAGCTAACTTCAGTAACAGACACATACATTAACTATCACCAACATAGTATATTCATTAAATGAAACACATGTGAAATGCCATGAGATTAGCAGATAGTCAGCCTTATCATCACAGCACTCTAGACAGATCCATAGTTGCTCCAACCTCCTCCTCAAAAGCTCTACATGTGTAAGATGACTGATGACGCCCGTCCTGTGTTCATTACACACCTGTCTTGTGTCTTTCATGAAATTTACATTTCTGCAGCTGCGTCTTCATATCAATGAGCCTAGACAGGGATACAGAGTTATGCCCTTTGCTGTGTGCATGTTTATAGTAAGTGATGTGCATGGAATTGATGACACAGTTTCTGTCCGGTACTGGACCAGTCACAGAAACCACAGTGTCTGGCAGATAATCTGCATTCTTGCTGCCCTAAAAGCCTGAATAACCCAGCACATACCTGGATGTTGTGGTCAGCACCCCACTGGACGCAATGTCAAACATTTACATACATACATATATATATATTCAGTGAGTGGTGATGAGAATCAGTTGTGCAAAGAATCTATGACATGATGACTGATTTCAACTGAATCAACTTAAGAACCAACATCACAGCACTCAGGACATTTCCATAAGTGCTCCATCTCTATCTGCAGCAGACAGCATACAGTTCTGATTCTGACAGTACCAGTAACAGGCTGGTTATATGTCTGTCTTGCCTGGTTATGTGTCTGTCTTGCCTGGTTATGTGTCTGTCTTGCCTGGTTATATGTCTGTCTTGCCTGGTTATGTGTCTGTCTTGCCTGGTTATATGTATGTCTTGCCTGGTTGTGTCAGTCTTGCCTGGTTGTGTCTGTCTTGTCTGGTTATATGTCTGTCTTGCCTGGTTATGTGTCTGTCTTGCCTGGTTATATGTCTGTCTTGCCTGGTTATGTGTCTGTCTTGTCTGGTTATATGTCTGTCTTGCCTGGTTATGTGTCTGTCTTGCCTGGTTATATGTCTGTCTTGCCTGGTTATGTGTCTGTCTTGCCTGGTTATATGTCTGTCTTGCCTGGTTATGTGTCTGTCTTGCCTGGTTATATGTATGTCTTGCCTGGTTGTGTCAGTCTTGCCTGGTTGTGTCTGTCTTGCCTGGTTATATGTCTGTCTTGCCTGGTTATGTGTCTGTCTTGCCTGGTTATATGTCTGTCTTGCCTGGTTGTGTCAGTCTTGCCTGGTTGTGTCTGTCTTGCCTGGTTATATGTCTGTCTTGCCCCTCCTCAGAGCAGTGAGTGCTGTAGATTCCCTGGGCACTCCCTGCTACATCATTCACTTCAGACTGTGATGATCCATTTGTGCTTCCACACTCACTCCTCAAGTGCCTCAACAATATCTAGCTTGTCATGCATCAATTTACCACCAAATGGTGCAGAACAAGCCAGTCTATCTGCCTGTTAATTTCCCAACACACCCTGGAGGTCATATGCAAAGGATGTTATCTACTTTGGACCTCTACAGCGAGCTTGCCACTCTTCACACAGACTTTCTCAAAATGCTTTGTCAGTCAGTTACTATCAGGGAATCTGTGCTGCTGGTTCTCAACCCAGTGAAAGGCTGATGTGACTGCTTTACCTACACTGTCAGACCAAATGTGATATTTATGCCAGGTTTTGTTGCATTAAGTGACGTCCATTTGCTTTTGCTATGAACCCCCAAGTATTTCTCTGGCCTCTCAGCAAACGTCATCTGTATAAATCTACATGATCAAGGTTTCTTGAAACAGCCCACCATAATGAAAAACACTGCACCAAGGACCACAAATCTCAACTGTACTCTCCTGGAGCACATCAATAAATGAGCTTATCAAGGTCAATAGGTAAGGTCTCACTGGTTGAGATGGTTAGACAGAGAAATAATTTAATAATATTGCTTTACATAAAGGTGTTTCATTCAATCAGTCATTGTCTTACTGTGCCATTATATATCATATTTAAAGGTGTTCCATTCAATCAGTCATTGTCTGACTGTGCCATGATATATCATACATGACTTGCAGTCTACTCCTCCATTCAGTCATATCCTGTGCAATCACTTCGATATCATGGATGGAATCCAGTCTATCTTTGCTACTCTTATCAATACTTACCTCATGGTATCTCTTGGATATCATGGATGGAATCCAGTCTATCTTTGCTACTCTCATCAATACTTACCTCATGGTATCTCTTGGACATCTTCATATTCTTGTATTTCCCATTTTAGTGCATATCTGGTGATTCTCTGCTGTCTTGTCTAAAAACTGTTGATACCAGCGGCTGCTCAGATATTTTCTTATTTTTCACTGGTCATAAATTCCTCCCATGTTATGTTGACACTTTCCTCAGACATTTGCTTAGCGCCAGGCCCTCAATGTTTTCCATGGGTCAGTGTCCCTAGAAGGGAGCAACTAACTAAACAATGTAACTCCATGGTTGGACTTTCACACACATTAACGGAGCTTGTCACGGAGCTAATTTTGTTGTATTTATTTAAACTTACCAGAACTCTTGAGGCCCAGATTTCCCTTGATTTGTCTCAAATCCATTCTGCAATGATAATCAACCCAACTGATAAAACAATTGTTGCAAAAAGACTTTATTTAAACCAAACCATGATTTGTCCGTACCATCATCTACAAGTACTTACTTTACTAAAAATAATTGTAAATGAGGTTTCATAGCAGAGAATTTGTTTTAAAGCACATAGTTCATTACTTAGTAAGTTTATTACTTAATATTACAATTACTTTAGTCTTCCTTTTATTCAAGCTGATACATCTTTCACCTTCTACCAGTGAGTGCCATATCTATCAGTTCCTGTAGCTCTTTCTGACTTTTCCCCATCAACTCCATGTCAACATCATATTGTAGATTATTTATATTCTGACCAACAACTAAAATCCCTTGTATATATGCCTCATTTCAATTTTTTTTTTAATATTTAAATTTTATAAATAGAATTTTTCAAATGCATAAAGCTTAGGCAATTTGAACCCATCTTTCCTTTTACGTCAACGATGTTTTGTGTTTGTAATCATGTATATCTTCTGTCTCGTGTACTGTCTGTACTGTCAGTCATTATTGACACAGATGCTGCTCAATGCCAAAATATCTAATATCTTCCCGTTCACTTTTCCTGTCATTACAAAGTAATCCTGATGTATCCTTTTCATAGCATTGCCTCAAAAGTATGGATTATCTTCTGTTAAAGTGAGGAACCAGTTCTCTTTCTCAGTTTCTTCACTTGAACTAGTGTTAAAAAAAAAGGATGACGGCTCCACTTAGAGTTGGCTTCCAGACTTCAATCGTATAATGGTTTCACTGCCTAAGGTAGTGAGTTAAGTGCCTGGTGCAGCACTGTGAGCTGTATTTTTTATGTGGAATGCCTTCCATTTGTGCACCGGCTGAGTCATGGTATTCAGCATGGAGGGTAGCCGGTTTACAAGTCAGCTGCGAAATACCTTATGTAATAATTTTACATGTGTATAGCCAACTTACTATGACCAACTAATTACATCAGGGCTATTCAATTGGTGGCCCGCAGGCCATGTTTGGCCCATGGAGGTCTAGCATGTGGCCCGCGGATCACTGTCAGCAGTATTGTAATAATGATCTTTTTATGCTAGGGCTAGGGCCACTGGCTCGTGACGATACCCATTCGTGAGTAAACTTAGTTGAATAGCCTAGACTTACATCAAGGGCAATTCTGGTGGTAAATGTTGGCTTTGGCACCTCTAGCAACTGCCCTATGCATTTATTGCGTGTGCATATTTCTGCATTGTGCCAAGACTAGTTGTTTGTTTACCAGTGTTTCACTGGCTCAGAAAGGTAGCATTAGTGGATGACCTGATGACAGCGAAGTTAAAACCCTAACTACTGATGAGATCAAATCGAGTACTCTCAGTAATGAAGCATTATACTTTGTCACAATCTATAATAATTTTTTTCTGAGAATTTTACTAATACACCCACTTACAGTTGTCTGCATATAAAAACACTGAGCTAGAAGAAATGTTAGAAAAAATATATATATTCATTCCTTGGCAGATAGTCTGCATTTTACACATGACTGAAGCCATGTTAGGCAATTTGCTTGGCCGCCATAATATCGGGTAGAAGTTCGGAGGAGAGCCGGAAAACCTATCAGCGTAGTAATTTTAAAGAAAGCTCATTAGGGAGGAAGCCATATTTCTTTAGTATATAATGATCAGATGTATGCATTACGAGAATACATTCAATGTAAGCTAGGATTAACAGTAGAACTAAGCACTCATCACACGTTGTTTCGGACTGAAAGAGAAGTCTGTGTCGTGAGGGGGGGGGGGGTAGGGGGGTTAGACCCACTGCCTATTTAACAAGCACGCCATAAAGGCGACTAATTAGAGCCAGGGGTGTGCCCTTCAAAGTCGCCGTGGATCCACCCGAGAGGCGATTAATCAACAGTCTGCATCGAAAAAAAAAAAGCCAGGTCTGAATGGATGAGGATGAGTAGCCCAACTCAAGTTCTGGGACAAGATCAAAGTCAAGAACATTCCGCCAGAGTTTTATTTTAGAGTCTGTGAACGTCAACTACAGCCAGGAAGAAGATCGTGATTGAATTAAACTAAATTGAATTAAAGTTTACATTAAGCGAATAATTAATCATTCAATGATTGAATCATTCGATTCATTGATAAATTATGCAGAAATTTTCTTTCTTTTCTTTAGACAAATTGTTTACCTGTCAGAAAAAAAATTTAATTCACTGGTATTTATGGGCACTCATAAGCTTATAACAATTAATGAGAAATGTTTGTAAATTAATCAATGTTCTCCCAGTTTCTGAGTGCTCATAATGTAAGAAAGAACAGCAGCAAGCGCCAGGACATTGTTTTAGTGTGAAATCTATCGCAGAATGTCGGGCGCCATCTTGGTTACTATCAACGTAACGGCGCGCCCTCTATGGTCATTGAGAATCATCATCATCTTAAAAAGTCGACTTCACATCTGCCACTTGCTGAAGAAGCGGAGCTACACTAGCTAACACAAGACAACTCCAGGCTTGGAGATGCGATTTACTGAGGGTTCTGTGGCCAGGCGCAGAAACAAGTGGACGGAGCCTGGAATGCGACCTTAAAATCCTAAATTAAATGTTGAAATAAGAATCGATATCTTAGTACTCGGGGCACTCCAATAAGCGCCCCGTCCCCATCTTCAGCAACAAGTGAAAAGTTCCAATTGCGATGGCAACAATAATGTCTGATTGTGTATCTGTCTCGCCTTCCCCTTGAGAGTTGAGATCCAATGCTAGCTCTTCGCGGCGCCATTCTTCTTTTTTATGTGTGCCTCCGCACCCAAAGGGGTGCTCACAACATCCAGTTTGTCATACATCAGTTCACCACCAAGTAGTGCAGAACCGGCCAGTCTATCTGCCTGCTCATGTCCCAATTCCCCTCCATGACCTAGAGAAAATATGGTAGTTAGCATTCTTAAAAAAGAAAGGTTTTTAAAAAAGAAAATTGCCTTTATCTTCTTCTTAAAGTCCACGCCGTGTGGCACTGTAGTCATGTATCTCCACAACCTGCTATCTCCTGTACTTTCAGTCAGCTCTGACACAGATGATCCTCCATGCTATGATGTCAAACTGTCCAGCATCTGTTCTCTCGGTTTCCCTCGGCCCCTATTCCTCTCCAACTTTGCTACAGTCAAGATGTACTCCAGTTTTCTCCTTCTCATCACACGACCAACGAATGTAGATTGTCTTTTTCTGATGTGGGCAATCAGTTCTTTTCGTGAGTCACTTTCTTTCAAGACATCTTCTTGCTTTTTTACCATTTATCTGTCCAGGGTATAACTGACTGACTTTCTACCCCACTAGAACATCACACAAGCGATAAACACCCGATAACACAAAGTGCCACCATGTGAATGAGGATCGCCGTGGAGAGGTCCCAGAAACCGCGTTCAGGCAATTGGCCATATTTATGGCCTGCCTATATTGTGGAACCTGGCAAAAGCCAGGGTGGGGCTTCAAATAACAAAAAAATTTCATCCTAAAAGGACTCCAGGGTCTATGAAACCAGTCTATCTCCGCAGTTTCCAAAAAACTTTTCATTCATTTACTAGCTGTCCATGATTCACTTCCGTATATTGGAGGGTTGGAGGGATATTGATGGTTGCAGATGATGGTCTTGCATATAGGCAGGGCGACACGCAACAAACAGCCCAAGAACTAAAAGCAACTCTAGATAAAGTGACCGACTGAGTGTGCAGAAATGGATGTTGTCATCAACCCAGAAAAGGCGACTGTTTATGGTGCTCTCTCGGCAAAAGAATGAAAGAGTTGATGTTCCAGGTTCCATAGTTAATGGTAGAAATATCAAAAGAGAAAGCAAATTGAGGTACATGGGTATCACTTTCGATAGAAGCCTTTACTTCAGGGACGATATGGAGGCAGTTGTGGCGAAATGTCAAAAGGCATATGGACAGAGGCGGCGGCAACATACAAGAGTTCGTTGATGGTGTATGCTCCAGTGAGGGTACTGGTAAAGAATGTGGAATGGGGAGAAGAGAGAAGGACGAGCCATAATTTCTTCTCCCTCCATCTAAAGGTGCTGACTAAAATATGTCTGTATTTGTTTATTCCAATAGTCTTAATTTCCACAGCAACTGCCATGTTGGTTGTAATGAAACGTGTCTGTTCACGCTGGAACAGCACAATCAATCATCATGTGCCCTGACAACTGGCGTAGGCGCTCATGCATCTCCACATATCACGATCCCTGGAACAACTCTCTTGATGATGAAACCCTCCATGTCATCGTTTCAGACCATCCAGCATCATCTCTCTTGGTCTGCCTCAACCCCATTTTAACCGGATTTTTCCAATTGTCACGATGTTCTTCAATGTCTCTCTTCTCATTATATGGCCAAAGAACAGTGTTGATCTCTTTCTTATTATTGTATATAGAGATCTTCTTACATTAACTTCGTTCAAGCAATCGTTGTTAGTTACTCCTGTCGTCCAAGGTATTCGTAACATTAGTCTCAAAACCACATCTCTGTTGCTTCCAAATTAGTTCACTGACATTCCAAGATTCGCAGCCATACAGCAGAATAGTTCTATGTAAAAAAAAATTTTAGCACTCTCTTTATGAAATTAAATGAGAGCGATTTAGTGTATATTTTTCTGAGGTGAAATACAGCTTTCGCTTGACCTGTTCTGCTTTTAATCTCTGTCACACATTATCCATCTGATGATATGATTGTTCCCAGATATTTGAATTTAATCGATAGCGCATCTCATTGAATATGTTCACGGTCATGCCATCAACCATGAGCTTCTAAATCCACAGGCTGAGGACTATACTCCAACCCCCGCCTCCAAGTGGTGACAACGTGCAGTTTAGTCTACAACAGGCCTGTTTAGCTCAACCACCTCACCGTGTGCTCCTATTTTCATCCATGCAAGAAATTTTTTTTTCGACCAGGATGACAGTCACTTTAGTTTCTCACTGAAAAGCCCACCCCCCCCCCCCCCACATAATTAAGTTCAAGTGTCAGCTGCCGTAGTCTAGCAGCTAGACGTTCACCTGCGGGTCGAAGGTGGTGGGTTCAAGTGTCAGCTGCCGTAGTCTAGCAGCTAGACGTTCACCTACGGTAGGTTGGTGGGTTCTGTCAGCTGCCGTTGTCTAGGCTAGACCTCACCTGCGGGTCAAAGGTGGTGGGTTTCAAGTGGCAGCTGCCGCTGTCTAGCAGCTAGACGTTCACCTACGGGTCGAAGGTGGTGGGTTCAAGTGGCAGCTGCCGTTGTCTAGCAGCTAGACGTTCACCTGCAGGTCAAAGGTGGTGGGTTCAAGTGGCAGCTGCCGTAGTCAAGCAGCTAGACGTTCACTTGCAGGTCAAAGGTGGTGGCTTCAAGTGGCAGCTGCCGTTGTCTAGCAGCTAGACGTTCACCTGCAGGTCAAAGGTGGTGGGTTCAAGTGTGAGCTGCCGTTGTCTAGCAGCTAGACGTTCACCTGCAGGTCAAAGGTGGTGGGTTCAAGTGGCAGCTGCCGTTGTCTAGCAGCTAGACGTTCACCTACGGGTCGAAGGTGGTGGGTTCAAGTGGCAGCTGCCGTTGTCTAGCAGCTAGACGTTCACCTGCGGGTCAAAGGTTCAGGTCCGGACTCTGTCAATAATGACCTTGCCCCTCAAGTCGACCCAGCCTTGAGTGAGTACCAGGTACTTTCATGAGAAGTGAAGGTGGCCGACAAGATGCTGACCACATCAAAAACCAAGTACAGTTTGGTCTATAAAATATAGGTCTAGCCCTATATACCCAATACATCTGAAGGAAAAAGAGTCCTGTACTTTATACTAAGCTCAAGTGGTTCAGTATGTGTGATCTTGTCTATCACTTCGATGTAGGTTGTTTCATGGCTCCAAAAACAATCCTCAGTCCCATACTCTGAACCAGTTGTGCCATGGTTGTTTTGGCCGCAGCAGCCCAGGTAGTGTAGGCATATTCCATGACTAGCCTGACTGCTTCAGTATAGACTTGTCTCAGAATTCTGCAGTTGACACCCCTCAGTTTTTTTTTCTACTGTATTGCTTCTTCATGTGTGTCTTGAGTCAAGTAGTATTCTTCATTCGATGGCGGACACAGAGAAAGGCTACAGAGTCAGTTTGTGAGAAATGTAGTTTTTAATACAGATTTCTTTTTTATGAGAGAGAGAGAGAGAGAGAGAGAGAGAGAGAGAGAGGAGAGGAGAGAGAGGAGGGGGAGAGAGAAAGAGAGAGAGAGAGAGAGACTTCATTGAACTTAACTGCAAACCGACTTTTCAGTCCAGGCTTAGTTTACCCAGCTGTTTTAGCTTTCCACATACATGTTTCAGTCTCTCTGCATTGTATTTTTCTTCAACAAGTCTAAGCTCTCTATCGCACCTCTCCTGTTGATTTGTCTTTTTCTTCAGCATTCGCAGCCATTGAAGTTCACTGCTGCAGACATCACCTGCTTCTTACATTCATCTATGAGCCCACATGCTGTTTGTGCCCCTTTAATAAAGTTTTTTCGTTCTGCGATTGTCTTTCTGTTTCCAGTTGTGACTTCCAGTGTTTGCAGGTCTGTCTGTACATTCTCTCTCCTGCCTTCTATGTCTACCTCATGGCCTACTCCTACTGAACCTTTTGTCTACACAGTGTCTGTTTCTGTTATCTGTCATTTGCTCTATATGCCCAATCCCTTTATTGTGAACATTATTTTTGCCATTCACTTTCCATTCTTGGCTGTTTTCTTTTCATCACAAGACTGTTCTCAAAAGCTTGCAGTAAGGCTTTGAAATTGTTCTTGTAGGTACACTCCAGGACAATTGATTGTATAGGGTGTATATTTAATCACAGTAGACTTTTTGAAATCTATGTTTGCACTATATGTGTGTATTACATCATGTTTCAAATGGCCATGTAACCATTAGTTTACAATATCACTCCTATATACCAGTTTTTTAATAACTGATCTTAGCTATAATGGTGTTAACTATTGTAGAAAGAGTACTTTTGGTAGAGCACGTGTTCCTTAATGGTGGCAGGTATGCAAATGTGGTTGTTCAATAATTTATGAGGTAATTCCCTAATACTCAAGTGCCTCACACCAATACTGTTAGCTATTTAACCAGTAGAATCGACTGTAAATAGATATGTATTGTGGAAAACTACCTAAAATATGATTATTCCAGAGGGCGATTACAAAAATAGGAACTATTTTTTGTAAATAGTCGTAAGTATACACACACTATATTGTGATCTTACTTTTACAAGATAGTGTTTGATTTGAGCAGATATTGCAGGGTAGGGCTATTTAACAAATTTACCCAGGAGCCAACATTTTGAAAGCGGAGATCGTAACAGGCCCCACCATAGAAACGTCATTAATATGCTACAATTGTGGGCCACTTTTGGCTTATGGGCTGCCAGTTGAAAGCCCTGTTGTAGGGCATAGTATACCTTATGTCATATTTGTATTCTATTCCAGTCCGACTCGTAACCCAGCGTACCGTGATCAAAACCCACTGCTGGCTGCATGGATTTTTATCATGGTACAGGGCGTGGCATGTCGACCCAGCCTAAAATGGGTACCAGAATGGGCTGTCATAGGAAAGTAAAGACAGCCGGCGTAATGCTGACCACATTGCCCACCGAGTGCTGATGGTCTGTAAAAATATGGGTGCTTTTCCCATGTGCCCGATACGCTTAAAGGCGTGAAAAGGGATCTTTACTTTACTTACTAGATCTTATTTCTTCTTTTAGTATTTTAGAGAAACCGAAGTTTGTACTAAATTCTATCTTTGCATCCTTTCATTTTCTTATTTTCTGTTGAATGTTCCGCAAAAATATTATTGAATCCCACAATGTAATGTTTTTGCCGAGTGCAATGACATGACCTTTGTTAACAACTAAAAGACATTGATCAACCATGCAACCAAGACATTTCAGATGTAAAGTTGTGAGGCATCTCATGTGTTTTACCAATGCCAGCGTTTGACATTTAACATAATTGACTTTGTGCCCACCAAAAACAATTACTGAGTTCACTGTGCCCTAATTTCCCACCAGAAATGTAATGCATGCACAAACATCCAGTCAAGCACAACACAAACAGCCTTTGGAAGAAAACTTTATAATTCTACATTTCTTTTCCCAAAACATCGCTTTTTTTAAACACAAAATGAACTTGCTTCAATTTGCTTTTGACATGAAAACGAGACTGTAACTATTATCTGGCAACTGTTGCCAGGTTGCCCTACTTGTTTATGAGGGATGAGACAATGTATGAGATTAGAAAGCATTTATTATTTATAAAACTCGTGTTCAGTTTCATCCTTCTTGATGTTGTTCTTGTATCCCTTCTCAAAGTCCTTGGCTAACACCACATATCTGTTTTCTCTCACTGCCTGCATGCCAGCCTGTGGATAGAAAAAAATACTTTGGTGCTGATCCATCCCAGTGCATCATGGGAAATACATATCACAACAGCCCCAGAAAATTCATGGAAAATTAAATAACATTTTCAAAGTGTACAATTCCAGCCCATCATGGAAAATACATTTCACAACAGCCCTAGCCAATCATGCAAAAAAATTAATTAATATTTGTAAGTATTTATCCCACACAAACAGCGCCTGGTCAAGTAGCTAGAGCACAGGCTGGAGGAAACCCGGATCTGAAACACCAGTTAGGTAAATGTATTTTTTTCTGCCAGAGACCCACAAAAAAAAACATCCTAACTTCTGCAGTGCTGCTGACTGGACTAGCCATACAGCCAGAGATCCTCACTCAGCCCCAAGGACTCCTCCCCCAAAAAGGCAAATACCGGCAGTAAACAAAAGTTTAAAAACAAACCCTAGCCCACCATGAAAGACAGACAATTGAAGGCTTATAGAAATTATGAAGTGGTTAAGAAAAAAAAAACACAAGAATACTCAGATTGGTAAAGGTTAGCAGCGCCAAAGGAATCTGAGAGATGTCACAGCATCACTACCTTCATTAAAATGTGACAATGACTGACAGCTAAAGAGATAAACATATAGAAAAAATTAGAATAATCAAATGTTTTATGTTGTCAACCATGCTGTATGGTGTACAAACTTGGACAATTGAGCTGAGTTGAGTTGAGTCGAAAACTGACATCACAACACTTGGGGCATTTCCATGCTTGCTCTGTCCTCATCTTCAGCAGCCAACGCAGAGTTCCAATACTGATGGTAATGATCACAACCTGATTATATGTCTGTCTTGCCTTTTCTCTGAGTGTAGTGAGCCGGCCAGACCCTCTGGTTACACCCAGGTGCCTAATTCTCTCCAGGCCATAATAATCTTCTTTCTCTACTGATTCGGTTACTTGTTCCCAAAGGGCCTTGACTGCATATGCCTTACCATGTATCAATTCACCACCCAGTGGTGCAGATTCAGTCAATCTGTCTGCCTGTTTATTACCGACTATGCCGGCATGGCCTGGGAAAAAAACACCAAAGTATGCTCACTACCCATGACCTTCCCAGCGAAGCTAGCCACTCTACTCGAAGCATCCCTGTCCTCGCAGTTCTTAGTATGCCTTCAGAGTCTGTTACAATTACGACATGTGTACGCATCTTGTTCTTGTTCTCTAGCCACTGGAGAGCTGCAGTTACTGCCTCCACCTCCATTCTCATGCTAAATGTTGTGGTGTTGTATGCTAGTCTGTCTTGCACTAAAGATTTTAAACTTGGGCAATAAATAGACAACTAGAAAAGTCACTGAGAATGTGAAATACACAAGGATAGACTGTATTTCACTGAAACAAAAACAGACAAACATAGAGGCTCTGGAAAGACTAAATGAAAAGAGAATTACTAAAGAAATAATAATAATTTTTTTTTTTAAATTAGACAATCAAAATATTTTGACCACACTAAAAGACACAAAGCTTTGTTAAAAACAATATTGCAGGGAAAGGTTGAGGGCAAGAGAACAAGAGGTAGACAATGATACACATGGGAGGACAACATCAAGAGATGTATAAACAGCGGTCTGAGAGACAGTACAACCAAAAACAAAAGATAGAGAGCATGTTGCCAACCTCCACTGTTGACACGGCACATGACTGATTCACCAACAAAAGTGAAGATAACCGACTTCATGGACTATTATCACACGATGTTCAGGAAAGGTCTAGCTACTTGATGATGTTTAATGAAAGCATCTTAAGAAAAACAACAAAACCTAGATAAATGAACTGACCTCCTGGCAGATGGCATTGATGTCAGCCCCACTGATCTTGTCTGGCCTGGCCACATAATCCTCTAGATCAACTTCATCGCTTAAATTCATCTTGCCGGTGATGGTGGAGAAGATGAGGCGCTTCTGTCGTCTGTCTGGCAGGGGGAACTCAATCTTTCTGTCCAGCCTACCTGGTCGCAGCAGAGCCGGGTCCAGAGTGTCTGCTCTGTTGGTTGCCATGATAACCTGATGAGAGGAACAAGTACCAAACATGTAGCAATCCCCATGAATGCTCAACTGGATATTAGTGGCCACACAAGCAAGAATGTATTTCTGATAACCTCTACTTCATTCCTCTGCTCCAGGGCTGTGCCGCACCAAGGCATCCATCTGTGCAACACAGTTTGACGTGACTCTGCTCAAGGGCTGTGCCGCACCAAGGCATCCATCTGTGCAACACAGTTTGACGTGACTCTGGCATGCATGAATGTACACTTGACGTAACAAACATTTTAGGGACAATAGACGACTGCCTGTCCAGAAAAGTGGTACGTAAAATGTACAAACAATATTAGACAAATGCAACAAATAAACACCAAACACATTAACTGTCCAGACACTTCAGCCTTAAAAAAAAAGCCACAGCCCCTGCCTGCCCCCACCCCTAATATTCAGCATTCTCCCCATATTAAGCTAATTTATCCATCTAAAACATTTCACATCCATTCCTTCTGGTTTTGAAGGGTGATTATGTAACACAGGCATCTTTCACAATCTCTATTTTCCCCCCTTCACTTTCTATATTATTTTCATGCTTTTCTAAGACTTCCTACGACCTTAGGACTTGATAATTACACAGGTGATACTGTTTTCTTGACGCATAAAATTTCTTTGATTTTTGCTGGTTACAATATAATAATAATTTGTGTACCCCTTTAAAAAAAAACAGTAATTGACACACATCATTTAAACCACGAACGTGGAGAATGTTTTGGAAATAATTTCATATATACTGTGGTTATTTTGATAGCCTATCCCACATACAATGAAGTACTGTGCTCATCTTATTCACATGAGGATAATACAGGAGACTGACCATCTCTGAGTGAAACAATGTTTTTTTTTTTTTGCATGGAAATATCACATTAACTGAATGCTCTGAATCAATGTTTGTTTTTTAAAATATGCCGCAAATAAGGAAAACAAAAACTAGAACTTTGTTTACATTATAATTATTTTTATATCAGGTCATGATTATTAACAGGCTGCAGCCACATGTCAACAATTTACATAAAAGGTTACTGAGTTTTTGATTTGTAAAATGGGGCACAACTTCTGAAACAGACTATAGATTAAGTAGACAACAGCAGAGACAAGCTGAGATAAAAGATAATACCTTAACATTGACGGTTTGATCAAAGCCATCCATCTGGTTGAGCAGCTCCAGCAAGATTCTCTGCACCTCACGGTCAGCTGTAGATGACAGTGTTCCATGTAACAATGAATGTATCAAACAAAGCATGTCTAAGGACTGTCAACATGTTAGTTTTACTTGAGAACCTCACGGTCAGCTGTAGATGACAGTGTTCCATGTAACAATGAATGTATCAAACAAAGCATGTCTAAGCACTGTCAACATGTTAGTTTTACTTGAGAACCTCACGGTCACCTGTAGATGACAGTGTTCCATGTAACAATGAATGTATCAAACAAAGCATGTCTAAGCACTGTCAACATGTTAGTTTTACTTGAGAACCTCACGGTCAGCTGTAGATGACAGTGTTCCATGTAACAATGAATGTATCAAACAAAGCATGTCTAAGCACTGTCAACATGTTAGTTTTACTTGAGAACCTCACGGTCAGCTGTAGATGACAGTGTTCCATGTAACAATGAATGTATCAAACAAAGCATGTCTAAGCACTGTCAACATGTTAGTTTTACTTGAGAACCTCACGGTCAGCTGTAGATGACAGTGTTCCATGTAACAATGAATGTATCAAACAAAGCATGTCTAAGCACTGTCAACATGTTAGTTTTACTTGAGATTCTGCAAATATGAAATCTCTGAAGGTTTAACAGGAAGTTTTTTGTGGTGTTTGTCAATGTAATAATAGATATGTATAGTGACTGCTAATGTAATAATGGATATGTATAGTGACTGCTAATGTAATAATGGATATGTATAGTGACTGCTAATGTAATAATGGATATGTATAGTGACTGCTAATGTAATAATGGATATGTATAGTGACTGCTAATGTTATCCCTACTCAATTGAACATACTCATCTGTGGATTGCAAATTGCTGGCTGCTGGAATCTGCACAACAATGGTCAAAACAGAAGACAAACATTTCAGACATAAATCCACTGTTAGTCATGAACATCTGTCGAAGAGCCCAAGCCCTCTGGTGTATCTTATCTCCCTTTCCTCACTGTGAGGCTCAGTGAATGCTTGTAAACTTATGTCACATTCTCACTGTTTGTCTATAAAATCTGTTACGTTATCACAATCAAGTCACTGCATGTTGGGAATTCCCATGCATGCTCAGTCCTCAGATGCAGCAGCCATTCCAATGTCTTCTACTAATTGTCTCCATGACAGGTTGGTTATAATATCCCTATCCCTGCCTCGAAGGTGGCACAGACATGCTTCCCCATGCTTTACTCCTATGTCACGCAATTGTGTTAGTGTTAGAGATTCAACATCCTCCACTAGCCCCGTCCATACAGCCTTGATCATGTCTGCTCTGTCCATGCTTCTCCCCACATGCACTGCTGCATTCCTTGCCAGCTGGTCCACTTGCTCATTACCCTTTACACCTACATGACCAGGTGTGCAGATCCAGGTGAGGAAGGTTAAGTGCAATTTTCAAATGCTGTCTAACCATTCCGAGCCATACCACCTGTTGCTATTTTTTGAAGCATGTTCATGGAGTCTAATACAATTCCTGCATGTGGCTGCATGCTTTCCTGCCCATGCTAGTGCTATCTCTGTGGTCATGCTTGACTTAGCTGCCTGGTAAGCGCAGCAGGCCTCTTTTATTGTTTCAGTGCCCTTACCTCTGTGTCTACGGCTGCAGGAATCTGATCCCTGCAGCACTTTCCCAGTGTGATGACAACCTTAGAGATGCCATGCATGTCTACTGGTGAATGCATCCATTCTTTTCAGCGACTGATCTCCTGTAGGTCACATACCTGCTGGATTTAATCTTCAGCCTAAAGTTATACCACACATTAAACCTCCCATTACTCACATGCTGTATCTACCAGAGACCAGCTGGACACATCTGACAGACTTGAGACATTGTTGACCTCCAAGCAATGAGCGGCTTGATCGCTCAGCAGTTTAAACTCTCTGCTTTATAGATTTACTAGTCCAGCAATCGCTTGAAATGCTGACCACTGAATTGATGTCTGTCACACGAACACTTTAGGGCACCTCTTGTAATAGGATACATCCCTTTGAGTAAATGTTCCATTTTCAATCTGTCAGACATCATCATCATGTAGCAGGTCCTTTTCAGAAGGTCATGCTTATTACAGCCCACCTAAAAGACACCCAGTCTAACAGTAGCTCTCCCAACATATTCTTCTTCTATCCCACAAAGGGGCATAGGCTCTCAAATAACTCAAGCCATTCCATGTGTCTTCTACCATATACAATGAGTCATTACAGGTCTTCATGTGCAGGTGCACTGGGTATAAAGTGGAAACTGTATGTTTACAGACCGAAGTCAGCGCCCACATGGTCATGAAGGGTCCAACATGCCAGCCATGTTTCCTGCAACCCAGGCTAGGTCATACTGGTACCAGTGAATCTAATTAAAACCCCTGGGGATCCAATCCTAGGACTGCCAGACCAGAAATAAACGACACTAGCCACTGGCCGATTGTGACTCCAGCATTGGTATACTGACCATGACATTCCAGACTTGGCTACATCCTGTTATTTCCCAAACATTCATGTTCACTGTTCCCCACCAGTGTCTGTGTTTTTGTGTGCTAATGGTTTTCTAGCTGCAAAGTTCTTGTTCTATCTTGTGCGACTGTCTTCTTGTCAAGCTGGCTAGTTCTATGTTCCATTTTGTTGACAGTGAATCACAAGAGGTAAATACAGCAGATGATACGTACCTCCTGTCTGAGCATCAAACCGCTTCGTAGCAATGGCATCTATCTCATCAATGAAGATGATGGCTGGTGCATTCTCCTTGGCTAATCTAAACACATCTCTGACCATTCTGGGACCCTCTCCCAGGTACTTCTGGACAAACTCAGATCCCACCACACGAATAAACGCAGCTAGGAACAGAGAAATAAAGACAGCATATGTTACAGTGCAGTTAACAGGGAGATGTAACAGCGGTAAGCAATGATTCCTAAATATGTTACAATGCAGTTAGCATTGAAATGTAACAGCGGTAAGTGATGATTCCTGAATATGTTACAGTGTAGTTATCAGGGAGATGTAACAGTGGTAAGTGATGATTCCTAAATATGTTACAGTGCAGTTAACAGGGAGATGTAACAGCGGCAAGTGATGATTCCTAAATATGTTACACTGCAGTTAGCAGGGAGATGTAACAATGGTAAGTGATGATTCCTGAATATGTTACAGTGCAGTTAGCAGGGAGATGTAACAACAGTAAGTGATGATTCCTGAATATGTTACAGTGCAGTTAGCAGGGAGATGTAACAGCGTTGAGTGATGATTCCTTAATATGTTACAGTGTAGTTAACAGGGAGATGTAACAGCGGTAAGTGATGATTCCTAAATATGTTACAATGCAGTTAGCAGGGAAATGTAACAGTGGTAAGTGATGATTACTAAATATGTTACAGTGCAGTTAGCAGGGAGATGTAACAGCAGTAAGTGATGATTCCTGAATGTGTTACAGTGTAGTTAGCAGGAGATGTAACAATGGTAACTGATGATTCCTGAATATGTTACAGTGTAGTTAAAAGGGAGATGTAACAGCGGTAAGTGATGATTCCTGAATCCGTTTCAGTGCAGTTAGCAGGGAGATATAACAACAGTAAGTGATGATTCCTGAATCTGTTACAGTGCAGTTAGCAAGAGATGTAACAATGGTAAGTGATGATTCCTGAATCTGTTACAGTGCAGTTAGCAGGGAGATGTGACAATGGTAAGTGATGATTCCTAAATATGAAAATATGATGATAATACAGATTTTATGTACTAGGTGTTGATCAGACATAGATAATTGTCTCAATCTTTTCTCTGTTAGGGATATTTTAATTACTTCAATGACTTTTATATTATTTCTTGCTGTCTAGCTGTTTTAGCTTTCCACGTAAGCCTTTTTTTGCAGTCTTTCTCTGTGTCTTCAACTATCTTCCCACAACAGTTCCCGAGTCCAGGCAGGATATATCATGTTGCTTCTAATGAGTCCCTGAGCCCAGACAGGATATATCATGTTGCTTCTAATGAGTTCCTGAGCCCAGACAGGATATATCATGTTGCTTCTAATGAGTCCCTGAGCCCAGACAGGATATATCATGTTGCTTCTAAGCATGTCAGGTGAGCATAGTTATACTACATCCTTTAAACTCTTACCTGCTTGTTATATATTATGCCCCTTGAACTTTAACCTGTTGCATGAAACATATTTTATACAACATCCTTTGAACACTGACCTGTAGTGTGATGGGCCACAGCTTTGGCCAACATAGTTTTGCCACAGCCTGGAGGTCCAAACATGAGAACACCACGAGGTGGGTCAATGCCGATCTGTTTGTAGAGCTCAAAGTGAGTCAGCGGAAGCTCCACAGCCTCCCTCACTTCCTGTTTCTGAATGTCCATACCTCCAATGTCTGCATACTGGACATCTGGCTTCTCATCTATGCAACAAACACACAAAAACAACTGTAACCTGTTATTTCCGTGAAATCAAATATTGTCTATTAAACCAGAATTCAAAGAAAATGTGACTCAGAATAACTGAAAACAAAGAGTAAATACTCACTACAAAAACTTCAGGAAAGTAAAAATAATAAGGAAAGCATTATAATATTTTTTTTAAATTAGGAAAGCATATATTTTCATCATTTTACAAAATATATATAAAAGAATATTCTATACAATCATTCTCTTATCAGTTTAGTAAAGATAAAGAATTACCAAGAGCTATATGAATAGGACCCTTGATGTACATAAGTGAATCATGGACATTTATTTTGTGAAAGTGGTGGCAAAGTCGTTTTATAAGCGAATAATGAAAATATTGTGAATAGATAAACAGAGCAATGAAGATGTCTTGAGAGACACAGACTCACAGAGAAAACTGACTGCCGACATCAGAAGGAGATAATCAAGACTGGTCATGTCATGGCACACAGATAAACACATTATTTCTGTAAACAGCTCATGGCACACACATTATTTCTGTAAACAGCTCATGGCACACAGATTATTTCTGTAAACAGCTCATGGCACACAGATAAACACATTAACCTGGCAGTCAAATGCTGGTGACACAGCAAGCAGGGTAAACATGGGTACCTCAATCAACTAATCAGACGTTGTCTCCATGACGAACACTGTCTGCAATGATCTCCAGCACATTGTTGTCTATTTCTTTTCCTTCAATAACTTTGAAAAAAAATTATGTCTTTCAAAGCCTTTGTTTGTGACTGTCTCAACATGAAAAAAAGAAAAGACAGAAATAGCAGATGAGGAAATACTGAACCTGTGATGACTGTAAAATCTCACCTGCTTGTAACATGGTGATGCTGCTATCTGCTTCAGGTGGTAGAACATCCACCAGGGCATTGCTGTGTTTGTGGAGGGCCACACTTGCCGACGGCTTCAGTAGCTCCCTGTCTATGGTGCTCAGAATTCTCACATAGTAGTTGGATCCTGTGGTTGGGGCAAATTGTCATCAATGATTAGCTCCCACACATTATTATTTTTTTGTTGTGTGGGTCTTCTTAGCGCTTATCGGCTTTAAACTCCACTGGAAAGTTCTGGTTGTTTGTCCGCTTCAGGACTTTAGTGTAGTTTCAGAATTTGAGTTTTACATGCACAACCTTTTCAGCTCTAACTTTATATGCAGACTGTTGGTTCCTCACCTCGCAGGCAGATACACACTCTGACCTCGAAGGAAATACCACCAATTAGTCACTTTTTACAACATGCTTGTTAGGTGGCAGTGTGTGTTTGTTCTTGTTATGCCCACAAGGAGGCCCTGCAACCTACACAGGCAATCATATAACAGCAGACACATCTGTCATATGTTCCTGGTATGTTAGACCACTGACTGTCCATCGTTTACCCGTCCAGCATTGTCACGTGTCAGGGACCGTACTCAAGCAGTTATAAATATTGGTCATGTTCCATGTGGACACACAGACACCACTGATAGACCTGTTTTAGCATGGACTCTAGAACCTGTGGCAGACACTAAATCTGCATATGATAAACTGGTAGAGTCATGTGAAGCCAAAGACATCCAGGAGTGCCAAACCAAACTAAAGACTTCACACTGGCATAGAGGCCAGATGTTCTGTCATTGTTTGAATTGATCTAATTGCAAACTACATGGCCCCCTAACAGTATTCTAAGCGTATTGTTGACGTCCCCTAGATTTATTACACATAGCATTACTTTTTAAAATGTACGTCTACTTAGAGTACATTCCAGCAACTGTAAATAACACTTATATGTTGCTGATGTTTATTAGTATTATTATTATCTGCTAAAATGATGTCTCGATGGAAAACTATGCATGGAGTGAGGCCAGGAGGGAAGAATCTTAAGACAGGCCTGTAAGCCCAATTCCCATCTCTGCTGACAATAAAGTCTGTTAGTGTGTTCAACCATTTAGGACAAGAAATCCCCCACGGACAACCAAACTCACCATGTACATTAAACCAAGCAAATATTTTCAATCCAATTTGAAGAAGGTGTACTTCAATTACTCATGCATCTTCTTCTTCTTCAGTGTTCACCTTAAAAATTGTGTTGTAATTTACAGCTAGGCTGTGATATCTGCACTTTTTGGCACAACACATCTGATTTCCAGCAAACCAACCTTGAATCAGTCACCACTTAAAACATGAGGCAGTGTAATTTGTCTTTTTCTCCCCCTAAACAGAGCCCTGGAAGCCAGACAGGGATGACAAATGAATGACTTGCTGGCAATACATTACCTGTCGTTGAGCCCACGATGCCGTTGTTATGGTCTACCGCTTCTAAGAATTGACCAATGACCAGAGGGACACTCTGAATACGCTTAACCTCTTCTTGCGCATGTAGATATTCCTTTTTCAGGTTCTTCTGTTCATCTTTTATGTACGCCTCTTGTACCTCTAAGAATTCCAGCTGCTTTTGGAGTTTCTGAGAACATGAATGAAAATTTAGTGTTACCTGGACATTGCTGCGCTCATGACATTTATTTCAACTTTTTACTTTTCTTCTTCTCTGTTTGCCCTGATGGCTGGAACATTGTGTTGGGTTTTACAGGTAGGCTGTGACACCTGCAACTTTCAGGCCAACACATCTGATTTCAGCAAAACATTAGTTACCTCTCACAAGATGATTGTTAATCCTTTCATCATGAGAAGCCAAAACACTGACACTTCCAACCAGATATAATTCCCCACAAAATGTCACTTTTCCTGCTTGTCTAGAGTGATCTGGTTACAAGATGTATAGTTAATGCTATTGGCAGAGTTCTCACCTGTGTAAGTTTTTTAAGAAATCAGGATGTGGCTACATTTATTAACAATAGCATTTAAGTAGGGAAGGAAAAAAAAAAAAAAAGGGGGGGGGGGGGGGGGGGGTGGGGTTGAAAACATCTGAGATAAATGGTTTTCCTAAAGCCAAGCTGATGTTGGATATTCCCACTAGCCTCACTGGTAGAGGTCAGGGGATCACAGTATGAGTCATTCAATACATGTGTTTTCCTAGGCTCCTGGGGACAATACATTTTACCCTGTTCATGTTTAATTACTCCTTTCATTTATATTTATATATTTTGAAAAATAATTTTAAAATGTATACAAACACATTATTGAATTTATTAGTGATCTGTGTAAAAAATAGTTGTGTTTCTTGAATTTTAAGGTTGTTACGTTAATGAAGAACTGAGCACGTTGAGATCCAGTATCACAGACCTTGGGACATTTCTCTGCCCCCCTCTGTCAGCAGGCAGTGAAGAGTTACAATGCTGACAGTAGCAGTATGACTGTATGTCCTTCTTGCCTTTCCCCTCAGTGTTCAGAGTTGATCAGATCCCCTGGTCATTCCATGCTGACCATTCTCTCCAGACCATACTGATCTATATGTGTCTCCACACTGTTTCATTCTCTCCAGACCATACTGATCTATGTGTCTCCACACTGTTCCATTCTCTCCAGACCATACTGATCTATGTGTCTCCACACTGTTTCATTCTCTTCAGACCATACTGATCTATGTGTGTCTCCACACTGCACCATTCTCTCCAGACCATACTGATCTATGTGTCTCCACACTGTTTCATTCTCTCCAGACCATACTGATCTATGTGTGTCTCCACACTTCCATTCTCTCCAGACCATACTGATCTATGTGTCTCCACACTGTTTCATTCTCTTCAGACCATACTGATCTATGTGTCTCCACACTGTTTCCTTCTCTCCAGACCATACTGATCTATGTGTCTCCACACTGCACCACTCTCTCCAGACCATACTGATCTATGTGTGTCTCCACACTGTTCCATTCTCTCCAGACCATACTGATCTATGTGTGTCTCCACACTGTTCCATTCTCTCCAGACCATACTGATCTATGTGTGTCTCCACACTGCACCATTCTCTCCAGACCATACTGATCTATGTGTCTCCACACTGCACCATTCTCTCCAGACCATACTGATCTGTGTGTCTCCACACTGCACCATTCTCTCCGGACCATACTGATCTGTGTGTCTCCACACTGTTCCATTCACTCCAGACCATACTGATCTATGTGTCTCCACACTGTTCCATTCTCTCCAGACCATACTGATCTATGTGTGTCTCCACACTGCACCATTCTCAGACCATACTGATCTATGTGTGTCTCCACACTGCACCATTCTCTCCAGACCATACTGATCTATGTGTGTCTCCACACTGCACCATTCTCAGACCATACTGATCTATGTGTGTCTCCACACTGTTCCATTCTCTCCAGACCATACTGATCTATGTGTGTCTCCACACTGCACCATTCTCTCCAGATCATACTGATATATATGTGTGCTTCCACACTGTTCCATTCTCTCCAGACCATACTGATATATGTGTGTCTCCACACTGTTCCATTCTCTCCAGACCATACTGATATATATGTGTCTCCACAGTTCCATTCTCTCCAGACCATACTGATCTATGTGTGTCTCCACACTGTTCCATTCTCTCCAGACCATACTGATCTATGTGTGTCTCCACACTGTTCCATTCTCTCCAGACCATACTGATCTATGTGTGTCTCCACACTGCACCATTCTCTCCAGACCATACTGATATATATGTGTGCTTCCACACTGTTTCATTCTCTCCAGACCATACTGATATATATGTGTCTCCACACTGTTCCATTCTCTCCAGACCATACTGATATATATGTGTCTCCACACGGTTCGATTCTCTCCAGACCATACTGATATATATGTGTCTCCACACGGTTCGATTCTCTCCACATACTGATTATATGTGTCCCATGTTCTTCTCTCAGACCATACTGATATATATGTGTCTCCACACTGTTCCATTCTCTCCAGACCATACTGATATATATGTGTCTCCACACTGTTCCATTCTCTCCAGACCATACTGATATATATGTGTCTCCACACTGTTCCATTCTCTCCAGACCATACTGATATATATGTGTCTCCACACTGTTCCATTCTCTCCAGACCATACTGATATATATGTGTCTCCACACTGTTCCATTCTCTCCAGACCATACTGATATATATGTGTCTCCACACTGCACCATTCTCTCCAGACCCTACTGATATATATGTGTCTCCACACTGCACCATTCTCTCCAGACCCTACTAATATATATGTGTCTCCACACTGCACCATTCTCTCCAGACCATACTGATATATGTGTGTCTCCACACTGTTCCATTCTCTCCAGACCATACTAATATATATGTGTCTCCACACTGTTCCATTCTCTAAAGACCATACTGATATATATGTGTCTCCACACTGTTCCATTCTCTAAAGACCATACTGATATATATGTGTCTCCACACTGTTCCATTCTCTCCAGACCATACTGATATATATGTGTCTCCACACTGTTCCATTCTCTCCAGACCATACTGATCTATGTGTGTCTCCACACTGTTCCATTCTCTCCAGACCATACTGATCTATGTGTGTCTCCACACTGTTCCATTCTCTCCAGACCATACTGATCTATGTGTGTCTCCACACTGTTCCATTCTCTCCAGACCATACTGATATATGTGTGTCTCCACACTGTTCCATTCGCTCCAGACCATACTGATCTATGTGTGTCTCCACACTGTTCCATTCTCTCCAGACCATACTGATCTATGTGTGTCTCCACACTGTTCCATTCTCTCTAGACCATACTGATCTATGTGTGTCTCCACACTGTTCCATTCTCTCCAGACCATACTGATCTATGTGTGTCTCCACACTGTTCCATTCTCTCCAGACCATACTGATCTATGTGTGTCTCCACACTGTTCCATTCTCTCCAGACCATACTGATCTATGTGTGTCTCCACACTGTTCCATTCTCTCCAGACCATACTGATCTATGTGTGTCTCCACACTGTTCCATTCTCTCCAGACCATACTGATCTATGTGTGTCTCCACACTGTTCCATTCTCTCCAGACCATACTGATCTATGTGTGTCTCCACACTGTTCCATTCTCTCCAGAGCATACTGATCTATATGTGTCTCCACACTGTTCCATTCTCTCCAGACCATACTGATCTATGTGTGTCTCCACACTGTTCCATTCTCTCCAGAGCATACTGATATATGTGTGTCTCCACACTGTTCCATTCTCTCCAGACCATACTGATCTATGTGTGTCTCCACAATGTTCCATTCTCTCCAGACCATACTGATCTATGTGTCTCCACACTGTTCCATTCTCTCCAGAGCATACTGATCTATGTGTCTCCACACTGTTCCACTCTCTCCAGACCATACTGATCTATGTGTCTCCACACTGTTCCATTCTCTCCAGAGCATACTGATCTATGTGTGTCTCCACACTGTTCCATTCTCTCCAGACCATACTGATCTATGTGTCTCCACACTGTTCCATTCTCTCCAGAGCATACTGATCTATGTGTCTCCACACTGTTCCATTCTCTCCAGACCATACTGATCTATGTGTCTCCACACTGTTCCATTCTCTCCAGACCATACTGATCTATGTGTGTCTCCACACTGTTCCATTCTCTCCAGAGCATACTGATATATATGTGTCTCCACACTGTTCCATTCTCTGCAGACCATACTGATATATATGTGTCTCCACACTGTTCCATTCTCTCCAGACCATACTGATATATGTGTGTCTCCACACTGTTCCATTCTCTCCAGACCATACTGATCTATGTGTGTCTCCACACTGTTCCATTCTCTCCAGAGCATACTGATATATATGTGTCTCCACACTGTTCCATTCTCTCCAGACCATACTGATATATATGTGTCTCCACACTGTTCCATTCTCTCCAGACCATACTGATCTATATGTGTCTCCACACTGTTCCATTCTCTCCAGACCATACTGATATATATGTGTCTCCACACTGTTCCATTCTCTCCAGACCATACTGATATATATGTGTCTCCACACTGTTCCATTCTCTCCAGACCATACTGATATATATGTGTCTCCACACTGTTCCATTCTCTCCAGGCCATACTGATATATATGTGTCTCCACACTGTTCCATTCTCTCCAGACCATACTGATCTATATGTGTCTCCACACTGTTCCATTCTCTCCAGACCATACTGATATATATGTGTCTCCACACTGTTCCATTCTCTCCAGACCATACTGTTCTATATGTGTCTCCACACTGTTCCATTCTCTCCAGACCATACTGATATATATGTGTCTCCACACTGTTCCATTCTCTCCAGACCATACTGATCTATATGTGTCTCCACACTGTTCCATTCTCTCCAGACCATACTGATCTATATGTGTCTCCACACTGTTCCATTCTCTCCAGACCATACTGATCTATGTGTGTCTCCACACTGTTCCATTCTCTCCAGACCATACTGATATATATGTGTCTCCACACTGTTCCATTCTCTCCAGACCATACTGATATATATGTGTCTCCACACTGTTCCATTCTCTCCAGACCATACTGATATATATGTGCCTCCACACTGTTCCATTCTCTCCAGACCATACTGATCTATGTGTGTCTCCACACTGTTCCATTCTCTCCAGACCATACTGATCTATGTGTGTCTCCACACTGTTTACTTGATCTCTAAGTGTCTTGACTACATCTAGCTTGACATGCATCAATTTGCCCCCCACTGGGGCAGAACCAGTCCATCTGCCTGCTGGTTAATCTCCTAACATACCTGCACACCTCAGAGAACAGATTCAAAGAATTCTAACTACCAAGGACATCTGAAGCGATGTTTCAGAGCTGGTCAGGAAGAATCTGAAGGTATAATAACAGTAAAGTGATTACAGATAAGTAAAGAGAAACAAATATATAGGGTCAATGATAGCAACATAGGCTTTCAAAACAGCCCAAGACAAGATAGAACCCCATCCGATGAAGAGCATTCCGTGTAAGTTATCCCTGACCATGGAAGCCATAAAACCTGACAGGCTTGGTAAGTTTAACTCTCCCCACCCCAGGCCATGCATCACATGTGATCAGCTGACCCCTGTGTGTTTCAAACAAAGCATGGTGTTATCGTTTTTTATGCTGGTCTGAACATTCTTACTAGAGACATCTGGCTAGTATTTTTCAATATGCAGCTCAGTATATGCTACGTAATTAAATATACTAATCATACTTTGTTCCCCATTGCGTTGAAGGTCCCCTTTAGGATCTGCTGTGAAATCATCTGTGACTATTCCTTGTGTGGGTTCCAGGGAATCCATTCTGGAGAAGGAAGACTAGACACCGACTCCCCACCCCCCAAAACAAGCATGTCATGGGAGGTGACTTATTGGGGGTGTTTTCTTCTAAGTCGGTGTGAATCTGCCAGAGAGGCAAGGAACCAACAGTCTGCATACAAATAAGCCAGATTTGTAAAATGGACGCGAATGCAAAATTCAAGTTGTGGATCAAGACCAAAGTCTAGGAGTGGGCAAACAACCAGATCTTTCCACTGGAGCTTAAAGTTTGTGAACATAAAGAATAATAAGATCTGTGGATCAAAGTTAACTCTTTGAATCTCAAGGAACGCATCATACGTTCATAGGTTCCCGCCTAGAGGCATAATGAACGCAAGATGCGCCGATTTTCATCTCTTTTGGCTACCCCTTGTGCCTCTGATGCTAAACCCCCTGGGACTCAAAGAGTTAAGGCACAGATTGCTAATACAGGAAATCTAGAGTTTGAAACCTTGCTGTCTCCAAGACCCCACTTCAGCACAACTAGAGAACATACAAGTAAGCCATGCTGGGATTTGTATAATGAAACAAGTCTGCAAGGTACCTATGCTCAAATAAAAGTCAATTAAAAATATGAAGACAGAAGAGTTAATATTTTAGTTGTAGCCCATAAGAGTAAATAACACATTTCTGAATGTTAGTTTAACATGTAAAAAAAAAAAAAAGCTACCTTGTATTTGACATACAGATCCTCGATGTCAGGATTCATAGGATCACCTGATGCTCCAGCCATCCCGGTCCCAGGGCGGGAGTCTGCAGTGTTGGAATCATCCTGGCCGCAACAAAAGCATAACAAACTGTAACATATCTGTGCGTGATGACTCGAGAAACATTAAATTATCCTTACATCAAGCCTGTACAGGGTATGACATGAGAATAAACACCGCAAAAACTGAGGTCATGAGGATAGGCAGGAAACATAACATCATTAACGTTCATGTTAACGTTACTACAATCAAACAAGTATGAGAATTGAAATATCTAGAAAGCATATGTTTTTTTACGGAGGATGGCAGACTCGATAGAGAGATAGAAGCCAGAGTACAGAAGGCCCCTCTGCTTAGACATCCAAATGTCTTCCTTCCAGCAGAACAGCAAATGATTAATAGCATCTTTATCCCTAATTTATGTTATCAGTGCCAAACATGGACAATGAATAGGGCACTAGAGCAGAAAATTACATGTTAAATACGCTGTCTCTGCAAGGTCACTAACAATACTAGACAAGACAGAGTTACGAGCACCAGCATTAGAGAGCAGTTAGAATAACACTATGTCTGATGTCTGGATTATATTATTAACAGACAAAGAATTAAATGGCTCAGCTATCTAGTGAGAATGCAGCCAGACCAGACTGCATATGAATTTTTGGCTCTCCTCCAAACTTCTACCTTGGCGAAACAAATACCCTAACAGGGCCTCAGTCCTATGAAAAATGTGCAACTTCCTGCGACAAAAAAATTGTGGCAAAACAATTTTAAGAAACGCAAAACTGCAGATGATAGTAGCAGGCGATAATAGCGACTGCAGACGATAGTAGCAAATGATAATAGTGACCGTTGACAATTTCGAGACACGCAACATTACAGACGATAAAAGCGACATGGCAGGAATACGACGCACTTCCACGCAGATTAGCGATACTGTTCTTCCGACTGAGGATTTAGCAGCGTTAGATGTAAGACCTGTCGATTTGCATCGAGTAATGACCGATAAACTGGTCTAGTTGCAATGGCTAATACGCAACTTGCAGGTATGTTCGTCCTGCCAGGGTGCTATGTCGTTGGCAGCGCGGCAGGTGGCTTCTGACAGATACTTGTGGCGCTGTCGTCGTTGTAGTACTGAGTGTAGCGTGCGCACTGGCTCGTTCTTTGCCAGCAACATATCAACTGAGAACATAGTCATGATGATGTTTTACTGGCTCTTCGATTAAACTCACCACCGACAGTATCCCCCGCGCCGCTATGCGTAGCACGGATGGGGGTTAAACTAGATGCCTGGGACTCACAAGCAAATAAATTGGAGGAAGTTGCAGATGTGGTAGCTACTACTCGTAGCGGCGCGGGGATACTGTTGGTGGTGAGGCATAGTCACAGAAACAGGTCCGCAATTAACATATCGCTGAGACCCTGTTAGAGCATTTGTTTCGTTATTCCGCAGATCCTAGTTTTGCAGCGATTTGTTCCTCAGCCGGAAGTCCACATTTTATTTAGGACTGAGGCCCTGTTAGGGTATTTGTTTGGCCGCATATTGCCGGGGTAGAAGTTCAGAGAGCCGACTTTTTATGGTAGAACATATGGGAGGAATGCGAGAGGAAGACCACAAAATAAATGGATAAATGGTGTGATGACCGTAATTAAACCTGCAAAAGGTTGAACAAATCCATCAGCCAACAAGCCACCCGAGAAGCGCAAGACAAATACATAAAACCATGACTCTGGACTCTGGGCTACAACCTGGAATCAGTGACTCATGAGTGAGATGGCAAAGTCGACAGAAAGAAATGGGCGTCCCTTTCTTTGCATTTACCTTGGTGAAACAATGTGTGAATGTAGTCGATTTTGTGTTTCAATTTGAAGGTTTCATTTATTTGCTTTATTTTAATCATTGTTACTGTAGTATGTGATGTATGATTATTCACCTGACGAGATGATGATACACTGAAACAGCGAAAAATGCAGGGCAATAAACTGTTCATTGAATTATTCAATCTATTGTTTGTGTCTTCTTTATCTAGTATTGATTAATGTTGAAACAACGTTTCACACTAGAGTTCGCCATAACGCAAATGCGTTCACCGTCTTTTTTACTACACATTAATTTTACTTTTAGCACACAATGTGGGAACATTTTTGTCAAGAAATAGGCTACGATAAATCTCTCAGAAAATTCTGGCGGCTCCACCAAAAGATGAACGGAGGCAAACAAACCTCTGTTATGCCCGAGCTAAAGATGGACAACGGGGTTGTGTTAAAATCGGATAAAGACAAAGGGGAGGCTATCCTGCACAGATTTCTCCTGCAGACGGAAAAGAAAGACAGGGAAGATAGGGAGCAGATGAAACAGAATTTACATGATATCCAGATGGCTGAAATCGAGGAAGACGATGATACAGTATACATCTCAACGGACTGCATCAAAGCATCACTGAAGACCTGTCCAGACACAGCTCCAGGTCCTGATGGCATTAGATACAGCGACTTCAAAAGCCTCGATATGACAGATATGGATGAACTATCCACGATTTTTAACAACACCATGAAAACTGGCATTATTCCTGATGACTGGCTCCACAGCTATCTCAGACCAGTTCCTAAGCCAGGAAAAGACCACACGAGAATAAATGGCTATAGGATCATAACACTTCAGAACACGGTAGGAAAACTCATGGAAAAAATCGTTGCCAGAACGTTAACCCAAAATTAGAGTCGGGTGGTCTTTTCCCCGCTACACTAGGTGGTTACCGACCAGGAAGAGATACATGGTGCAATGCTGCAGTATTTGCTTACGACACATATGAGGGTTTTCCAGGAGGGAATGGAAACTGCTGCAGCCGCTATTGACTTAGAAGATGCGTACAACAGCGTCCCATACAACATGCTCATCAGACTGCTGTTGGATATGCAGATAGAGACAAAGTTGGTCAACTGGATCGCAGCAGCGTTTTTTGAAAGAACAGTGTCGCTTCGATGTGGTAAATGGGCATCCGAACCTCAACGAGTCCTAATGGGTCTGCCACAGGGATCACCACTGTCGCCTGTGCTCTTCAATGTGTACACAGCAGGAGTCACTAGTGCACAACGCGTAGGTCTAGGTAGAACAATGTCGTATGCAGATGATATTCTTGTTTACCGTCGAGGTAAAAAAACAGGCAGGAAATTACAACCACACTACAACACGAACTGGACAGACTTAGTGAGTGGTGCCAGGAATCAAGAGCTCATGTGAACCCGTCCAAAGCCTCCTTAACATGGTTCTCTCTAAATACTCACATCGTCAATACACCAACGCCAGTCGTAAGCATATGTGGTGTGGACATCGAGAGAACGGACACCATGAAATACCTGGGTATGACATTTGACAGATGCTTGTCATACAAATGCCACGTAGACAACGTCATACTTAGAGCCAGAAAAGGTCTGACAGCACTCAAGGTGCTAGCAGCAGCTGATATTGAACAACGCCTACTTTTCCTTCTCTATCAAGGGCTTGTGCTTAGCGTCATTGACTATGGTCTTGGCCTCCTCACTGTCAGCAAAACCCAGCTAGAAAGACTGGACCGAGTACAAAATGAGGCCATGAGACTCATACTCGGCTGCACAAAAGACACCTCCTGCAACGCCATGCGTTATGTCCTGGGTTTGCCGACGATGACTAGTAGATACAAAGTGGCACAAGTCAAGGCTTACATGAGGGTATCGGCAGACGCTAACCACCCATTGCACAAAGCTATATACGACACAAAAGGAACGCGTCTCAAAAGAGGCCGCTCTTGGATGGCAAAGGCTGAGAATTTGATCCAGCAGGTATGTGACCTACGCGTTATCAGGCACGGAAAAGAATGGATGAATACACCAGTAGACATGCATGGCATCTCTAAGGTTGTCATCACACTAGGAAGGTACTGTCGGGATCAGATTCCTGCGGCCATAGACACAAAAGTAAGGGAACTGATAGATCAGCATTCAGACCCAGAAGATATCATCATCTACACAGATGGGGTCCGTGAAGCGCGGATCAAGGTCAGCATGGGCATACACAGCGCAAAGAAGGGGGGAAAACAATACATGAAGATAGCGGCGCTTACCAGACAACCACGTCAAGCATGACCATGGAAATAGCCGCTGCTTCTAGAGCTTTTAGCATGGGTATCCGAGCAAACCGCCACACAAGCAGTAATTGTCTCAGACTCAATGAATATGCTTCAGAAAATAGCAACTGGCAGTATGCGCTCTGAATGGATAGAAAGCATTCGGAAATCGCACTTAACTTCCGTAACCTGGATCTACACACCGGGTCATGCGGGCGTAAAGGGAAATGAGCGAGCGGACCAACTGGCAAGCACAGCACTAATGATTGCGGGAAAAAGCATGGACAGAGCAGATATCGTTAACGCTGTACGTACTGGGCTAGTGGATAATATCGAATCCCTGACACTAACACGATTGCGTGACATGGGAGTTAAGCATGGTGAAGCACGTCTTTGCCGTCTGCGAGGCCGAGAAAGGAGACAATATAACCAGCTTCTCATGGGGACAATTAGTAGAAGTACTTTGGAGTGGCTGCTGCTTCGGAGGACTGCGCACGCATGGGTATGCCCAATGTGCAGTGACGTCGATTGTGATAACAAAACACAAAATAACATTTTGTAGGAAGTCGGCATTCCGAAACCCAAGTTCAAGGTGTCTCCTTCGTGCCAAAGAACTGCATGGCTGTTGGTGTGAACAGTCGTTAACGAAGGCAGTCAGGTCGTTGTAGGGGCGACGCCTGCTAGTGGATGTAATGTCCTAAGTCCCTTTCCCAGCTAATAGTGAGGGTACTGCTGGGGTGACCATTTGTTAACCCCTCACATAATGCTTCAAGTCACAGTGGACGCTAGGCACGGCCACTTTTTTTTTTTTTTTTTTTTTTTTTTTTTTTTTTTTTAGGTCCGTCGGAGCAACTGTGGCAGTTCTGCCAGGCGGTGGCTGTTGCATTTTTGCTCCATTTGTAGACTGGAAGGATATGGTTTCGTCACCCAGCTTCTGAGTTGAGTGCATGGTGTGACACTGTGAGCTACGAGTGTTTTTCGTTGGCACAGGAGCGGAGCAACAATGGGGTGACCCGTTTGCTATGATGCTGAAACTAGGATTACCAGATTACCAGATTTACTTTTAGCACAACGGACGGAATCGTCCTCAATCTTCAACTTCAATCAATGACCAATGGATGGTGACAATGCAGTTTATAACTATTAACTCTGATACCAGTTTTCATACATTTAAAAAAAATATCTATTAACACATTTTCATGCTAAATAAACTTCTTCGTTTTCTGATAATTAGTGTATCCGTATGAAATGTTCAGTACTCTTTATAAGCACAAGAAGCACACAAGATTTAAATTTAAAAATACCTTCTGTTGTTCGTTGGATCCCAAGCCTATTTCGTCCATTTTTGCTTATGAACATAAAAATATAATCGGATAAAGTAACGAAATAATTCTAAAATACATTAAATATTTTTCATAAATTTGCTATATATTAACAAATTAAGTTATGTATTAAGTTAATTTATGTACTTATGGAATATTAATAAAATAGTGTTTTTGCCTTAGCAGTGGAAAACTTTAATTAACAATATTTTGTTCTGTTAAGACATTTTGGGCTCATTTATCCTAGCGACGGGGTAGTTTACAAATGGCAGCCTCCTTTGTGTTTATTTAGTTTTCATTGATTATACAATTTGTACAGTGAAAACTGATATATGAGATAAGCAAAACCTTGTGAACTTTCTGCAGTATTTAAATGATGTCTCAGCCCGAAGCGCCGACTGTCAGTACAAGTTTTTATAAACTGCCACCAATAATTACAACAGAGAGAGATCGGGAGTTTCTCAAGGATGTCAACACATTCATAGAAACGGAGTTGAACGAAGTCAACGACAAAGAGCCCGAACAAAGATTTCTAGTTTATAAAGCTGCCTTTAACAAGGTTTGATTATTGACATCTCTGTTTCAGTGAATAAAGCTTATATTTTGTCTGCTGACTGTATAAGCCTTCATGTGTTCAGCTAGCGCATACAAAATGAAGCTACTACGGGTAATCCTGGGATGTACAAGAGACACCCCGACTGTGTAGATGCCATACATCCTTGCATTGCCAACTATTGCACATAGACTAAAGGTGCTGCAGGCTAAGTCATACCTCAGAGTAGCTGCAGACAGTGAACACCCTCTTTTTGAAGCTTTGGCTGCAGGTGAGGGTCAGAGGCTGAAAAATAGAAAATCATGGATGGCTCAAGCAGAAGACACAATAATACAAGTATACATGCTGGAAAACATTGTGCAAGGAGAGGAGTGGGTCAGAGTACCAGAGGACAAGTTTGACATGTGTAGGGTTATGATCACATTGGGTCGGGAGTGCAGAGAGTGGCCAGCGGGTTCTACGGAGGTGGAAGTCCTACAGATGATTTACGACAATTCAAGCCCAGGTGATCTGATAATCTATACAGATGGTTTGGTGGTGAGAGGAAAGAGAAGTGTCTGGGGTTCGTAGTGAAAACCAATGGAAAATCTTTGGTGCAAGACCGCCTAGCATACGACACCACAACGTCTAGCATGAGAATGGAAGTGGAGGCGGTAACTGCAGCTCTCCGGTGGCTAGAGAACAAAATGCATACACATGTCATAATTGTAACAGACTCTGAAAGTATGCTGAGAAAGGTGAAGACAGGGAGGCTTCGAGCAGAGTGGCAAGCTTCACTGGAAAGATCACGGGTAGTGAGCATACTTTGAATCTTTTCTCCTGGTCATGCTGGCGTGGTGGGTAATGAACAGACAGACACATTGGCTGGATCTGCACCACTGGGTGGTGAACTGATGCATGACAAGGCAGATGTTGTCAAGGCTCTTTGGGAACAAGTAACGGAATTAGTAGAGAAACAAGATTATTATGGCCTGGAGAGAATGAGGCACCTGAGTGAAACCAGAGGGTTTGGCCGACTCGCTACACTCAGAGGAAAGGAGAGACGGACCTATAACTAGATTGTGACCGGTACCATCAGTATTGGAACTCTGTGCTGGTTGCCGAAGATGAGGACAGAGCATGCATGGGAATGCCCTGAGTGCTGTGATGTCAATTCTTGACTTAACTAACTAACTAACTCATGTGTTCGTACTGAGTATTGCCACCACTAACAGATAAAGCGGATGTAACACCAGAGACAACGACAATAATAATTGAAGTAACAGAGCCATTTAACCTTTTACGTAGTAATCTTGATAGCCAAGTAAACACACACAAATACATTATGACACAGGTTGGTAATGCATCAGCAGCCTATTATAGGAAGAAAAAAAAAGAATAGAACCACTGCCTACCCAAAAGCATGTCGTAAGAGTCGACTAATTGGGAACTTCCCTCAAAGTCGGAGTGTATCTGCCTGAGAGGCAAGGAACCAACAGCCTGCATACAAATGAGTCAGATCTGTAAAACGGAATGCATACGCAACACTCAGGTTCTGGAACAGGACTGCAGTCCAGAAGTTGATGAACAACCAGATCTTTCCGCCAGAGTTTTCAGCTGGTGAAAGTGAAGAAGAAGAAGATGAAAAAGAAGAAACCTAACTTTATTTCAAATTTTTTTTTTAAAGTTTTAATGTACCCGCCCAGTAAAAATTGGTGAACCACTAAAGATATGGAATTGAGGTGAAATGCACTCAAACACAGACAATGTCTGAGGACAATGATGAACATACAATGTGATGAATTCAAGAGAGGTGAAGAACTAGGGGAGGTGTCTGGGCAGCCACTGGTATCAATGTGAAAATGGCACTATATTTGGTTATTTCCTAAGAAGAAACGAATAGAGAATCACCAAGTGAGTGAGTGAGTGACATTTAAACTCACCAGGATTGCACAGCAAGTGATTGATTAAAACTCTGTGACACAACCGACGATAGTTATGAAGTGACCTGAACTCTAGCCGGGGTTGGGGCTTTCACTTAAAATAAAAATTATCTCCCCTATTGGAATGGATGAAATGGGAACAGAGGGAGTGAAGAAACAAAAATTTCCAAGAGAATCCTTAAAATGAACATTGATGATAGAAGCCAAACCCGCTGGACAAAATGGAGAAAAAACTGCGAGGCCTATGTGACATATAATGGCACAACAGGAAAATGATTATGACGATATGTTCATATTCTTATATATGCAGCCAATGTCATCATCATAATCATGTAGCAGATCCTTTGCAGAACATTGCTCTCATGACGTCTGCTTGAAAGAAACTTGGTCTCTCGCCAGCTCTCCCACCTCATACGCTATATTTCTTCTCTTCTTTGTCCATTGTATTCTGAAAATATTTCTAAAGCATTTCAGCTCAAAAACCAATATGTCCTTCCTTAACCAGTGTAAAGCTCACAGATAAATTCACTGAACACAAACTGTTACACTAAGAAGCTCAACCAGAGGTTAGTAGAAAGGGGGGGGGGGACACACATAGAGAGAAACAAAACAGTTACATGTTGGTCGATGTCTTAATCAATGAGAGGCACAACAAGAAGTTGAGAAATAAAGAATGTAAAATGACATAGGAGACTATGAGCAGAAAACCTGCAGACTGCAAGCAATGGAGATCACTTTGAATGCGTATGTGTCAACAACAACATACAGAGGATGTAGATACATAGATACTTATGACCTTGTTTACTTGTTTTGAATTTCCCTGGCAGGTAATAGACTACACAACAATCTACAAGCCCGTGCTTGCTGGCATTCAAAAACAATATGAGGACACTATCGAAGCAATTAAAAAAGAACAACAGGAAAGTATCTTCTTGCAGGGAAAACTGCGTGCAATGGCATCAGAACCCACAACTCTCCTAAATTACAAAAAGCAAGCTGATGAACTTGAAGAAAGGTACATAATAAGTAGATGAGTTTCCTGTAGCTAGACCAGATTATCTACTCTTGTACTGCTTATAATTTTTGCTTTTAACATCAAAATGTTTAATCTGTTTTTTACCCAAACCTCTGCCATATATCGTTTTTCATAATATGTCATTTCCAACCTATCATAATACCTACTCTCATTTCCAGCCAATCACAGTACTCACTCTCAAATATAATTTTTCATAGTAGCTACTCTTCTTCTTCTTCGGCAAAAAGTTCTGGTTAATCATCCACCTCTGAAGTTTAATCTTTCTCACTTCACTCTCTTGTTTCCTTCTATGTGTCTTTTTGTGTGGTCTGCCTCTATTTCTTTGACCCTGTTAGTTTCAGTGCCAGGACATTCTAGCTGTAATGTTGTCATGTTTTCTCAAGGTTTTCCTATCCAACCTAGTGTCTTTACTTCACCTCGTAACTAACTGGATTTTGCTTCGTTCTCTCTCCCAAAGCTCAGCATTAGTTATTCTATCATACCATTTAATTCCCTCTATTCTATCATACCATTGAATTCCCTCTATTCTATCATACCATTTAATTCCCTCTATTCTATCATACCATTTAATTCCCTCTATTCTATCATACCATTTAATTCCCTCTATTCTCATACCATTTAATTCCCTCTTTTCTCATACCATTGAATTCCCTCTATTCTATCATACCATTTAATTCTCTCTATTCTTTTATACCCTTAATTTCCTCTGTTCCGCACGAGCACCAGTTATTTAATGTTTGAATTAAATTAGTATAATTTTAGTTGTTCTTCATGTTTCAGTTTCATAAAACAGAATTGATGTGATGTTGGAGCTAAATATTTTAAATTTGATGCTTGTTTTAATTTTTTTCAAGCAGGAGGATGGAGAGGACAAAAAGCACATGACATAATCTTTTAAGTAAATCAAATTAAAACATTTTTTCTCAACAGAGTTGCCAAGATAAACAAAGACAATGAAAGGCTTCAGAAAGAACTTGCTGATATTCAGGCCAGCAGAGAAGAAAGAGAGAAAAGGCCACAGACAGTAGAAGTTCCAACACAGCAGTTTAAAAAGGATACCAGACCGATCCCAGGTATTTTGTGTGTCTGGGTGCATACATGCAAACATGCATTTGTTTTTTGTGTCTGTGTGCATACATGCAAGCGTTCATTTGTTTTGCAGAACATATAACATTAAAACTTTGTTAATGTTATGGATGGGCAGAGCATTTAAAAAAAAAGAACATTAGAAAAAAAATGTTACATATTTGAAAAGACTGGCATCTGACCTCATTACCAGAGAAGCCATGTGGGCATGTTTGTTATTGAATCAGTGGCAAGTTCCACAAGAAATCAGAATAAAAAATGAAAACTTTCTCACCCAAAGAAATCAAACTGTGCAGCATCCAATCCTGAAATTGTTATAGAGCCTTTGGAAATCAAATTGAAAGCACCCAATCCTGCAATGATTATAGGAGCCTTTAGAATTCAAAATGAAAGTGAAGAGTGAGTCATTTTAAAACACTGCCATTACCTTCAGTATTCATCATATTGTGGTGTAGGCAAGGGGGTCTTTGAGCCCAAGGATTTCGAGCTGCATGGCGAGTGCTGTCTTCATAGACGGTACAGGTTAATATTTTAATTTTACCACAAACATTAAAAAAAATTCTATAGTCTTACAGAGGATTTGAACCTGATTCTTACACAAGATCCCAGTGTTCTTAACTGTTCTTTGAATCATAGATGAGACAAAATGCAAGTCATCTGCTCTATAAGAAGACATTGTTGTGTCTACTCTAGGTTTACCACTCGACCAAACCACAGATATGAAAGTTCTGCGGAAGAAATATGAGAGCCTGGACAGACAGCTGAAAGAAATCAACAACAGCCTGAAAACCAGGTTTCTGCCCAAGAGCCACAAAAGCAATCTGAAGGAGTCATTAGAGGACAAAGTTCTTTATAGAGACCAGCTACTGCTGCAGAATCAGGTCAGGGTCACAGTCTGTATTTTAAAGTTAAAATTGAAAGGAACAACTTCATTGCACCGTGTTTATCTAAAATAGCCCAGTCTCTTCTCTCAGAACAGCCAGCCACCTGCTGAGAGCATAACACAGTGCATGAACTCAGTAGCTCCTGCAACGACCCCCATGGATCTCCTTAAAAATGTACTCATAAAACAAACAAACCCACAACCGTCAGAGTGCGAGGCAAATAGCTTGAGTTTTGTTTTGTGTGCTGACCCTCACCTGCCAGTGGAGCATAGGACCTCAACCAGTTCGTAGCTTTGTGAATTTGTTCATGATTGTTTGGGTTTTGTATGTAAACTTTTATACCCAATAAGGTAAGCAGCATTAAACCAACCACATTAGCTTCATCTTCACATGATGCTAATTTATGTTCAAGGTATATTAGATATATGGAACTATATCTGACCCATAGTGATTTCTTCTTCTTGTTTCCTCTTTAATTAAGAATGAGCCCCACCAAGTTGGTACTTCTTTAAGTCAGCATTCATTTGTACTAGGATTCTATCTAGATGCACTTCCCTCAAAGTCATGAGCTCTGTCTGCTGCCTTTGCTTCCAAGAACATTTCCTGATATCTGTATTAGGTTGGGTCATTCTGGAAGTCCTGGCCAATAAAAAAACCAATGACTTTGACAGGGGTTTAAACATATGGCTACAGGCTGGCAAGCAGTGTGCTACTACCATGGCTACCTTGATATGTGTAGCTACATTTATATGTGTGTATTCAAGAAAGCATACATTTATGCACATTAGTGTACAATATGTGTAAACTACACAGATTTAGTTTTTTGAAAGAATGGTGGAAACATGTAGAAATGCACTGAAGATGTCTTGACATAATGAACTCATAGATGGATGAGAATGATGCAGCAGGAAGTGACCAGAAGATTTGGCCAACATTCAATACACAGAGGAACGACCAGATGGACATACAGACAGACTGTTGTGAGTATCATAGGAAATGGAACCATGCACTGGCTGCTGAAGGTGGAAGGGGAAGGCTTGTGCAAGCATTCTGAAGGTTGTGGTGTCAGTTTTTATGCCAGTCCAAGTGAACATTAAAATTATCAGCAAGTGCCCAGTGATAATTAATGCAACATGTATGTAATTAAGTCTGACATTTTGTCCTGACTTCTTCTTCTCCTTATTCTTTGTGATCGTCAGCGGTAAACTCCAGCGGAAAGTTCTAGTTGTTCATCCACTTAACGACTCAGTCTAGTTCCAGAGCTGGAGTTTTGCATGCACATATATTATACAAAACCAGCTTATTTGTAAACAGACTTTTGATATCTTGCCTAAGAGGCAAATGTACTCAGACTTCAAAAGAAACCCCCTCTAATTCGTTGACTTTTATGACATGCTTGTTTAGGGAGCAGTGGATCTTTTCTGTTATCCCCAAAAATGAGTCCCTGGAACCCACATGAGGAGTGCTGGGATTGAGATTTTTGTCTCCTAGAGCTCACATTTTCATTACAATCTCTTGCAGATGTACAAAGCTAGAGGGCAGAAACTAAAACTAGCCCTGGAGGCAGCAAATGCCTACAACCAGGTGAAGCCACCACATCAGACTGTTGGTGATGCTGTGACATCAGCCTTTCAGCAAACCACCTGGATACTGAAGGATGACAAAGGTTAGGATTTCTTTGATTGTGAAAGTTTTCATCTGATCCCCCCCCCCCCCCCCTCCCTCTTCCCCTTCCCTTACCACACATACACTGTTCCAATATAAAAAAAAAATTAATCCATGATCATTATTGCCTATTTTTTTATCCATGATCATTATTGCTTATTTTAATCTCATCCATTTTCATTATTGTCTGTTTTCATCCTATCAGTGTTCATTATTGTCTATTTTAATCTTATCAGTGTTCATTATGCTGTCTATTTTAGCTCACTGTCAGGCACAGTGTTGCAGTGGGAGCTCTTTAGCTCACTGTCAGGCACAGTGTTGCAGTGGCAGCTCTTTATCACTAGGCAAATTCATGATTACTACCTCACTGGCAGGCACAGTGTTGCAGTAGCAGCTCTTTAGCTCACTGGCAGGCAGAGTGTTGCAGTAGCAGCTCTTTAGCTCACTGTCAGGCACAGTGTTGCAGTGGCAGCTCTTTTGCTCACTGTCAGGCACAGTGTTGCAGTGGCAGCTCTTTAGCTCACTGTCAGGCACAGTGTTGCTGTGGCAGCTCTTTAGCTCACTGTCAGGCACAGTGTTGCAGTGGTTTGCTGATCTGTGGTTTGCTGAGCTGTGTTTTGCTGAGCTGTGGTAAAAGTTCCGAAGAGATAAAAGGCAGACTACAAAAGGCACAAACCTGCTGCTTTGAAAGTACACAGGACAGTCACAGACTCAGGAAATAAATAAAATCAGATTTGCTGAGCTACAGATTTATTGAAACAGAGCAGCATAACTTCATCAGGAATAAAGATAATTTATGTAAGAAGTATTTTTTTAAAAGAGGATACAAAAAGTAAGTAACACATATGGAGAAGAAACAGAGATAAGGAAACACAGGACAAGAATTAGAGACAGAGATCGTGAAACATATGACAGGAATTAGAGACAGAGATAGGGAAGCATATGACAGGAATTAGAGACAGAGATAGGGAAACATATGACAGGAATTAGAGACAGAGATAGGGAAACATATGACAGGAATTAGAGACACAAATAGGGAAACATATGATAGGAATTAGAGACACAAATAGGGAAACATATGACAGGAATTAGAGACAGAAATAATAGGGAAACATGACAGGAATTAGAGACAGAAATAGGGAAACAAATAACAAGAATTAGAGACAGAGATAGGGAAACATATGACAGGAATTAGAAACAGAAACAGAGAAACATATGACAGGAATTAGAGACAAAGATTGGGAAACATATGACATGAATTAGAGACACAAATAGGGAAACATATGACAGGAATTAGAGACACAAATAGGGAAACATATGACAGGAATTAGAGACAGAAATAATAGGGAAACATGACAGGAATTAGAGACAGAAATAGGGAAACAAATAACAAGAATTAGAGACAGAGATAGGGAAACATATGACAGGAATTAGAAACAGAAACAGAGAAACATATGACAGGAATTAGAGACAGAGATTGGGAAACATATGACAGGAATTAGAGACAGAGATAGGGAAACATATGACAGGAATTAGAGACACAAATAGGGAAACATATGACAGGAATTAGAGACAGAAATAATAGGGAAACATGACAGGAATTAGAGACAGAAATAGGGAAACAAATAACAAGAATTGGGAGACAGAGATAGGGGAAACATATGACAGGAATTAGAAACAGAAACAGAGAAACATATGACAGGAATTAGAGACAGAGATTGGGAAACATATGACAGGAATTAGAGACAGAGATAGGGAAACATATGACAGGAATTAGAGACAGAGATAGGGAAACATATGACAGGAATTAGAGACAGAGATAGGGAAACATATGACAGGAATTAGAGACACAAATAGGGAAACATATGACAGGAATTAGAGACAAAGATTGGGAAACATATGACATGAATTAGAGACACAAATAGGGAAACATATGACAGGAATTAGAGACACAAATAGGGAAACATATGACAGGAATTAGAAGCAGGAATAGATAAACATGACAGGAATTAGAGACAGAAATAGGGAAACATATGACAGGAATTAGAGACAGAGATTGGGAAACGTATGACATGAATTAGAGACAGAGATAGAGACAAATATGATAGAAATAAGAGACAGAAATAGGGAAACATAACACATGAATTAGAGACCGAGATAGAAACACAAGACAGGAATTAGAGACAGAGATATGGAAAGAATTTAACATTCAGCCGTTTGTCATTGACGTTGAACAGTCAACTCTCAATACTACTGTGGAAACCAAGGCAAGGCGGTCTGCTGCTAAATCGCCTGCAGTTAGGGTTGAACCCAGCAACTCAGTAAAACTGAAGCTTGCAACACCTAAGCCATGAATGCCCTTTAGCATGAGGCTGTTGAAAACACTTTTACAAGTGAAGGACGAAACAAAAAACAAACAATGGAGTGAATGGCAAAACGGAATTGTATAAGGTGAACTAGAGATTTTATTTAAGTAAACAAATAAAATCAAACTGACATGCTGTTTTAAAACACAAAAATGTAGCTAAAGGAACATTCTTAAATGTTCCTGCTGTCCACTAAGAATGAACATCTTTTCCTGCTGGTTCTAGAAAAAGTCGAAGGAGAACAAGCTGAAGCAACAACTCTGGAAGAAGATGATCCAGAGATGCAACAAGAAGCCGAGATGATGCTGGAATACATTGAGAAGTTCAATGAACTCTTTGAAGACGGGCTGTTTGAAGAAGCTGCAGTTCACGCTGCCAACAGCCCGAAAGGAATATTGAGAACACAGGCTACATTGGCGAAGTTCAGAGGTTAGATACGGATGCAGATTCACTTCTCTTTTCTCTTCTGTCTGTGGGGAGAGGTCTTCTTTTCCTTTCCCACACTCACCTGTTGTAAACTCCGGCAGAAAGTTCTGGTTATTTATTCACTTCTGGACCTTAGTCATGTTCAACAGTTTGAGTATTGTGTACAGGTCCATTTTGCAGAACTGGTTTATTTGTATGCAGACTGTTAGTTTCTTGCCTCTCAGGCATAGGTCATATGACTTCAAAGGAAACCACTAATTAGTGATCTCTTATGACATACTTGTTAGGGAGGCGAGGGGGGGGGGGGTCTATTATGTTTCCTCCCACATGGGGCCTGTCAGCTGGTGGAGAAGTAATAGTGCCAAGTGGGGGGAGGGAACTGTTAAAATTCCAAACTGGGGAGATATTGAGAATACTAGCTCCCAGGTCAAAGGTCATTGTCAGGGGTGGTGCTTTTAATACATAATTAATGACAAGTCTTGGAATGATGATCAGTCTACTTGTATTCCCAGGTTAGCGAAGACGACAATTGGTAGCTATAAGTATATATTTTTGTTTAAACTTTGGCTAATTACATGTCCAGATTTACAAGCTGTGGATTTGTAAAGTGTTCGCTGTTTGGGCTAATTTTCGAACCCATAGATTTCTTCTTGTCTTTTATCTTTTGAAAAATCATTGGTCCTCAACCAAATCATGCCAAACTCTTTACAGACTTGATTATGTTTGGTTTTTTAATTACAGTACACTTTTTTATTTGGTTTTTTAATTACAACACACTTTTTTATTTGGTTGTTTAATTACAACACACTTTTTTATTTGGTTGTTTAATTACAACACACTTTTTTGTTTGGTTGTTTAATTACAACACACTTTTTTGTTTGGTTGTTTAATTACAACACACTTTTTTGTTTGGTTGTTTAATTACAACACACTTTTTTGTTTGGTTGTTTAATTACAACACACTTTTTTGTTTGGTTGTTTAATTACAACACACTTTTTTGTTTGGTTGTTTAATTACAACACACTTTTTTGTTTGGTTGTTTAATTACAACACACTTTTTTGTTTGGTTGTTTAATTACAACACACTTTTTTGTTTGGTTGTTTAATTACAACACACTTTTTTGTTTGGTTGCTAAATTACTGTAGACTTTATGAAAGCTTACAACTAAACTGTTTGTAATTCTAATAAAAATGTAGTTGTGTGTTGATGACAGCGATAACAGGGAACTATATTTACCCAAGCAGTGAAGTGACAGACATTTGGATTGTTAAAATTTGAAACAAGTTTCAGCTCATTCTTTATTAACATAGTTCTTGTCTTGGTTTAAAAAAAAAATTCCAAATATAATTTGTTGATTCTCCCATTTCTGAAAACTCAGACGTGAAGATACACAGCCAGGGTAGATCACCCCTCTTTGCCTTCTGTGATGTTCTAATGTCATCAGTCAAGGCCGCAGGAAGCAAGCCTAAAGAAGCATTGTCAAGAGATTGTGTGGAAGCTGCTCTGAAGGAGAACTGCCCAGATCTGCTATTTCACTGGCTTGCTCAAGATAGGTCATCTTTTGTTTTGTTTATTCTTCTGTCTTCTTCTTTTCTGTCAATACTTGTTTCTCAACTTTGTTTCATATGTGGGGGTATTATTTTTTGGCCTAGGTTTTGAAGGAACTAGCAATCAAAAGAGTTACTGAAATAAATAAAAATGTGACAAATAGTGAACAGTCTCAATATTTTGACCATATTAAAAGACATAATTTTCTTGTAAAAACCATACTGTTGGGAAAAAGTGAAGGCAAGCGAGCAAGAGGTAGACAGTGATACAAGTGGGAGGATGACATCAAGAGGTGAACAAACAGCAGTCTGAGAGTGTAAATTTTAGGCAAGAAACAGAGAGTGTTGGAGATCCATTGTAGCCAGTCTTTATTGTAGAGACAGCACACGAGAGATTGATGATGAAGGCAAACTAGAAATATGGAGTGATCAAGGGTTTGAACTGATGCTGCTCACCCTTTAGAGACAGAGACTTATTTGGAACTTCTCTGCCAAGAGAGCGGAGCACTTCAGGTGGGGATTTTCTTAATTTACACTCATACAAAATATAAAAAATAAAGCTTTTAATTAACGTATATAAAACTATATATATTTGTGTATTAAATTGAACGAACTTAAATAGTCTTTATGAATTACAATGATATATGAATTACACAGATATATCAATATTTATTTAAATTAGCTGTTGAATTTGTATATTTATGCATGCATTTTCTTTTTATTACTTAGAACAAACAAGACTGAATTGAACAATTAGGCTACATTTTTGGGCGAATGAAGCCTGAGAAAGTCCTAACACTTGTATTTTGGGATGCACGACCTAAAAAGGTCCCCCTCGCACATGGTTTTACTCCTTTTTCTGTTTCCTACTTTGTTTGGGTTGCTATGACACAACAGTCCTTTTCACCATTGTTGGGCACATGTAATTACAGAACACAACAAACTTTCATGATAGAACACAGAACAGCTCACATGAGCAAGAAATGCAGGAAGCAGTCTGATTGGCTGGTCCCCTTCCAGTCAATCTTTGTTAGCTATTCTGGCTGTTAAAGGTGTTTTTAGCCCCTTCCAGTCAATCTTTGTTAGCTATTCTGGCTGTTAAAGGTGTTTTTAGCCCCTTCCAGTCCATCTTTGTTAGCTATTCTGGCTGTTAAAGGTGTTTTTAGCCCCTTCCAGTCAATCTTTGTTAGCTATTCTGGCTGTTAAAGGTGTTTTTAGCCCCTTCCAGTCCATCTTTGTTAGCTATTCTGGCTGTTAAAGGTGTTTTTTTAGCCCTTCCAGTCAATCTTTGTTAGCTATTCTGGCTGTTAAAGGTGTTTTTAGCCCTTCCAGTCAATCTTTTGTTAGCTATTCTGGCTGTTAAAGGTGTTTTTTAGCCCCTTCCAGTCAATCTTTGTTAGCTATTCTGGCTGTTAAAGGTGTTTTTAGCCCCTTCCAGTCAATCTTTGTTAGCTATTCTGGCTGTTAAAAGGGTGTTTTAGCCCTTTTCAGTCAATCTTTGTTAGCTATTCTGGCTGTTAAAGGTGTTTTTAGCCCCTTCCAGTCAATCTTTGTTAGCTATTCTGGCTGTTAAAGGTGTTTTTTTTTTAGCCCCTTCCAGTCAATCTTTGTTAGCTATTCTGGCTGTTAAAGGTGTTTTTAGCCCCTTCCAGTCAATCTTTGTTAGCTATTCTGGCTGTTTAAAGGTGTTTTAGCCCCTTCCAGTCAATCTTTGTTAGCTATTCTGGCTGTTTAAAGGTGTTTTTAGCCCCTTCCAGTCAATCTTTGTTAGCTATTCTGGCTGTTAAAGGTGTTTTTTAGCCCTTCCAGTCAATCTTTGTTAGCTATTCTGGCTGTTAAAGGTGTTTTTAGCCCCTTCCAGTCAATCTTTGTTAGCTATTCTGGCTGTTTAAAGGTGTTTTTAGCCCCTTCAGTCAATCTTTGTTAGCTATTCTGGCTGTTAAAGGTGTTTTTTAGCCCTTCCAGTCCATCTTTGTTAGCTATTCTGGCTGCTTTAAAGGTGTTTTTAGCCCCTTCCAGTCAATCTTTGTTAGCTATTCTGGCTGTTAAAGGTGTTTTTAGCCCCTTCCAGTCAATCTTTGTTAGCTATTCTGGCTGTTAAAGGTGTTTTTAGCCCCTTCCAGTCAATCTTTGTTAGCTATTCTGGCTGTTAAAGGTGTTTTTAGCCCCTTCCAGTCAATCTTTGTTAGCTATTCTGGCTGTTAAAGGTGTTTTTAGCCCCTTCCAGTCCATCTTTGTTAGCTATTCTGGCTGTTAAAGGTGTTTTTAGCCCCTTCCAGTCAATCTTTGTTAGCTATTCTGGCTGTTAAAGGTGTTTTTAGCCCCTTCCAGTCAATCTTTGTTAGCTATTCTGGCTGTTAAAGGTGTTTTTAGCCCCTTCCAGTCAATCTTTGTTAGCTATTCTGGCTGTTAAAGGTGTTTTTAGCCCCTTCCAGTCAATCTTTGTTAGCTGTTCTGGCTGTTAAAGGTGTTTGCAACCCTCAACACTACGTTAATCCAGAGACTCCTTGTTTTTGTTATTAACTCTTTGCTTAACAAGGTACTTCATTTGTTTTTTTTCAAACAGTGGTGGCTTGTCAACCAAGCCTCAACCTGGAGGACTGATTCCTTTGGCCGAACAAGATTACACATGGAGAATTTAGGAGGAAAATAAAAGGTCGATAACTGGCAGATGTTATCAAAGGAAGAGGAATGAGATGGATTGGACATATTTGCAGAATGCCTCGTGACACTTTGGCATGTCTGGCAGCTAAAACAAAAAAGAGGTGGAAGACTTGAAGAAACCTAGTGGAAGAAAGAAGTAAGGGAAAGGAAGGAATGTCAACTGACATGGGATTCCATGGGCAGAACAGCAGCAGACCAGTAACAGTGAAGATCACTTGTGAATGCCATGTGTGTCAACAATGTCAGGAAGATGATATAGACAGATGCATGTCAGAGACAACATCTTTGCTACTCAAACTCTTGTTTAATTCTGTGAAGAGGCAAGCACACCTACACCGTCTTGGACAGCAACATGATGTTGATCTGTTTGTCAAGTAGAGCACTCTGATGCTCTGCTTCTGCTATTTTTTAATTTATGTTTTCATTTTATTTTCCAGATTAACAGTATCATTCCAACTTGGCAAGATGATTTCAGACCATTGTTCTTGCTCCATTCCTTGTTCCTGTGGTTGCCAGGCTATGGCAGAAAGTGTATTTCATCAATTGAAAGTTGGACTATCAAGTTATCTTAGCCATGTTAAAACAAGGCAAAGTTCACAGTGCCCTGCACTATGCCAGGTTGTACAACTGTATCACGAATGAAGTTATCCAAGATATTCTTGGTCTTAATGTATGCCAGGAATTTGTAAATGGATTAATGGAAGTTGATCTCAGTGGAAAAAAGCCATGTAAGCATAAGTGTAAATTGTTCTTTAGGCTGAACATGGTTAACGAATTAGAAATAAGTACGCTCGGTAGTGAAAGGTTAGGCAGGTCTTATACAGTGGACTGGATATCAGGTCGATTCCTGGGAAGTAAAGGTGGCTGGCATGATGCTGACTACATCACCCACCAGGTACCATTTGTCTATAAAATATAGGTCTACCCATATACAGCCGAGTCTGGATAAGTAGGAGTCGCAGGACCTCAGAAAATGCTTCCACTTATCCGGACTTCTACTTATCCAGACAGCACAGACAACAGAGAAAATTGCTGGGACTAAGCTGGTGATGTCGACTTAAACCAAAATTTGACTTATCCGAGTTCGACTTAAGTGGACTCGACTGTACCCAATACACCTGAAGGCGTGGAAAAAGGGTCCTTTACACTACTTATACGGTGAAGTGGGCGCCGCTGAGGTGTAGACACTTCAGTTTCTGACAGAGCTAGACTTTTTCCAGACATGACCTTGGCCTCAAGATTGACCCAACCCTAAATATTAACACACAGCCCAGTACACCTGAATGTTTGGAAAAGGGTCCTTTTTTTTACCTTATGCAGTGAAGTTCTTAAATCAACATTATCATAACTGTCCTGGGGGACTGCATGGTCTTGAGGCATGGTTTCCGCCTCAAGTGCTAGAGGTTCCAGGTTCAATCCCCATAAGGGCAGAGATTTGTTCACGTGGACTTGGACTTCTAGTAATTCCCCCTGGTCTCTGTGTAGGGAGCTGTGCTGAGCTTCTTCGGACTCAGACTTGAGTCAGAAGAAGAACAAAGCACTTATGGGTTACTACCCATGTACCATGATGTCGAACCTTTGTTCAAACCTCAAATCTCATAACTTTCCTAGCAGTCATTTATTGTTAGAACCTAGGGCACATATTTTTGACTGAATACCTCTGCAGATGTCTTTCTTTATGTGCCCAGGCATTGGTCAATCATGACATTATAACTTCTCTGTCCTGTACAATTCAGACAAAGTTAAAGCTACTAACATCATTAATTGTTGCTTAACTTAATATTATCTTTTTCTGTATTCATCTGTCTCTTTTCACTAGTATTTTGCCCATAAGGGCAATTTTTCTACTCTTACTTTGTAAACAAAATTACAACCATGTGATTATGACAGTGCTTAAGTAGAGGTCCCTTTTGATGATCTTGTGGCATTCATTGTTGGTGTGTGTCACTGTCAGAATAACGCAGAGTGTCTGCTGCCAAATTGCAGTAGCTGAAATCAAACAAGGGACCTTGGAATTATGAAGGCCGTTTAAAATGCTTAAGCAACAGACGCCAATGTTATAGAACAAAAAATGTCCATCTTTCCAAACAATCATGTTATATTGGGCTATAGAGAGGCATAGGAAACACAGCCAAAGGGATAAAATTGCTCCTGTCCATAGCACAAAGGTTTGGCAGTATTTTAGAGACCAAGTGTTGCCCATGCAGTATAATTCCTCTGTTGGCCTGCCTTGTTTACTCTGCAGGAAAGGTAACACCAATAAGTTTGGAAGAAAACATGCTGCAGAAGCTGCCAGATCAGAAGAACAGTGCTGTATCTGTCCACATGTTTAAGCTTCCTTCCTAGGCAAGCTGCCAACTAAGGCTAAGAGCCTCGGAGCATCTTTTTGACAGAATGAGGAATAAACAGATAAAGTAGAATAATAATATAGAATATTTAATAAATAAACAGAAAAGTGGAAACATGATTTCAGATTTAAACCTGAGGCTGGGTGTCATCCTTGAATGTTTAGCTGCTCACAAGAAGCATGACCTTGCTGCTGACCTTGTCCTGGCAATGCTGAAACCGGCCACAGAAAATACTGGTAGGTTCTAAAGTATTGACAGTTTGTGCCATGTTGCCTGCAGAAGTGAAAAATATAATCCTTCATTCGATATTGCGTATGTCGCTGAAATGTTTATACTTTTCATCCTATATTGTCAGAGTAACTAAAATTTCTAACTGTTAAATTGTCCAAGTCACTAAAATTTTTAGCAGTCCATTTCATACTGCCTGAGTGGCTAACTTGTTTAGCTAATTATTTTGTGTTGTCCCAGTCATTAAAATTTGAAACTGTTCACTTTGTATTGGCTGAGTCACTAAAATGTTTAGTGAAGTATGTTCACTTTAATTAACTAATTAGGCCAGACACTTTAAGTGAGAAAAAAAAACCTGGTCTATTTTGCTAGTGGATTAATTATCATCTTTCTGTTGTGTGCCCCAGGATGATTGCCAGTCTGTTGTGTGTCCCAGGATGATTGCCTGTCTGTTGTGTGTCGCAGGATGATTGCCTGTCTGTTGTGTGTCCCAGGATGATTGCCTGTCTGTTGTGTGTCCCAGGATGATTGCCTGTCTGTTGTGTGTCCCAGGATGATTGCCTGTCTGTTGTGTGTCCCAGGATGATTGCCTGTCTGTTGTGTGTCCCAGGATGATTGCCTGTCTTTTGTGTGCCCCAGGATGATTGCCTGTCTGTTGTGTGTCCCAGGATGATTGCCTGTCTGTTGTGTGCCCCAGGATGATTGCCTGTCTGTTGTGTGCCCCAGGATGATTGCCTGTGTGTTGTGTGTCCCAGGATGATTGCCTGTCTGTCTGAAAGTCTAGGTACACAAATGGTCTTACATTTAACTCTTCTACGTGCTCATCTTTCACACAACAGTGGCATTTTGTCTAGAAAGCATTTATGTTCATATATCAATAATATATAAAAATCAAGTAAAAACACAAGAGCATGCATAGAGTGGAAGAAGAACGAAGAGGAAGATGGAGAATAAGAAGACAAAGAAAAGAAGCAAAGGTGAAGACAGAAGCTTTATTAAACTAGTTAGTCTTCTTCTTCTTGTAGTCCATTCTTATATGTCCATGTAATGTTGGTAGTCATGTCTGTCCAGTCTTCTGTCTCGTATACTTTCAATCAGTTTGGACACAGATGATCTTCCACGCCATGATGTCAAACTGTCCAGCATCTTTTCTCTCAGCTCCCTCTGTCTCTTTTAGTTTACTTTCAGGAAACTATTTATGTCAGTATTTTAGAAATATATTCTTTCTTGTATTTCAGACAGAAAATCTTCCATTTTGTCCCTGGGAAAGCCGTAACACTGGATAAAGAAACCACAAAAGAGCAGTGGATGAAGATCATACAAAACCTGGACACCTGTGGTCAACAAGAAGTGAGCCTGCAGTTGTTGGCAATAACTACAGTTCTTAATGTCATCAACAAAGCCATCACCCTTGTACAGGACGACAAGAAAGGAATATCATTCTCGGTGGAGATTCAGGCTTGCAGTGATTCTGAAAACGACAGCAATGATGATGATGAATAATAGCAATTCAAGCTATGGCATTTCTTCAAGGTCATATGATCATTCATCAAGGGAGATGACTCCAGATGTTTCTCTGTCTCAGACAAGTCCTAAACCTTCCATCCTCAAAAAACGAGCAGATATTGGATCAGCCAAAGTATCAGCTTCCTCAAAGACGTCTGCCAGAAACTCCCTGTCCACCTCCACAGAAAAAAAGAATATTTAATGCTGGTGTCCCAACACTGCAGGTCAGTGTAGGAAATACTCCAAGTGAGAAGCCCGCTAGCTCGTCAGAAACAAGATGCCTAGTGTCCAAAGCATGGGGTGGCATACGGTTCATGGACAGTGATCCCTACACTAGCACACCAGAGCCAGCAGCTGACAGTGATACTGAATAACTGACATCCTACTGTCTCAATTGTATAGATCTAGCTGTCTTCACCTGTATGGATCTGGCTGTCTCACCTGTATGGATCTAGCTGTCTCACCTGTATGGATCCGGCTGTATCACCTGTATGGTTCTAGCTGTCTCACCTATATAAATCTAGCTGTCTCACCTGTATGGGTCTAGCTGTCTCACCTGTATAGGTCTAGCTGTCTCACCTGTATGGTTCTAGCTGGCTCACCTAAATGAATCTGGCTGTCTCACCTGTATGGTTCTGGCTGTCTCACCTGTATGGATCTAGCTGTCTCACCTGTATGGATCTAGCTGTCTCACCTGTATAGGTCTAGCTGTCTCACCTGTATGGTTCTAGCTGCCTCACCTGTATGGTTCTAGCTGTCTCACCTGTATGGGTCTAGCTGTCTCACCTGTATAGGTCTAGCTGTATCACCTGTATGGATCTAGCTGTCTCACCTGTATGGATCTAGCTGTCTCACCTGTATGGTTCTAGCTGCCTCACCTGTATGGTTCTAGCTGTCTCACCTGTATGGTTCTAGCTGTCTCACCTGTATGGTTCTAGCTGTCTCACCTGTATGGGTCTAGCTGTCTCACCTGTATGGGTCTAGCTGTCTCACCTGTATGGTTCTAGCTGCCTCACCTGTATGGTTCTAGCTAGCTGTCTCACCTGTATGGTTCTAGCTGTCTCACCTGTATGGGTCTAGCTGTCTCACCTGTATGGTTCTAGCTGTCTCACCTGTATGGTTCTAGCTGCCTCACCTGTATGGGTCTAGCTGTCTCACCTGTATGGTTCTAGCTGTCTCACCTGTATGGTTCTAGCTAGCTGTCTCACCTGTATGGTTCTAGCTAGCTGTCTCACCTGTATGGTTCTAGCTAGCTGTCTCACCTGTATGGTTCTAGCTAGCTGTCTCACCTGTATGGTTCTAGCTAGCTGTCTCACCTGTATGGTTCTAGCTAGCTGTCTCACCTGTATGGTTCTAGCTGTCTCACCTGTATGGTTCTAGCTAGCTGTCTCACCTGTATGGTTCTAGCTGTCTCACCTGTATGGTTCTAGCTGTCTCACCTGTATGGGTCTAGCTGTCTCACCTGTATGGTTCTAGCTGTCTCACCTGTATGGTTCTAGCTGCCTCACCTGTATGGTTCTAGCTGTCTCACCTGTATGGGTCTAGCTGTCTCACCTGTATGGTTCTAGCTGTCTCACCTGTATGGTTCTAGCTGTCTCACCTGTATGGTTCTAGCTGTCTCACCTGTATGGTTCTAGCTGTCTCACCTGTATGGTTCTAGCTGTCTCACCTGTATGGTTCTAGCTGTCTCACCTATATGGTTCTAGCTGTCTCGCCTGTATGGTTCTAGCTGTCTCGCCTGTATGGTTCTAGCTGTCTCACCTGTATGGTTCTAGCTGTCTCACCTGTATGGTTCTAGCTGTCTCGCCTGTATGGTTCTAGCTGTCTCGCCTGTATGGTTCTAGCTGTCTCACCTGTATGGGTTTAGCTGTCTCACCTGTATGGTTCTGGCTGTCTCACCTGTATGGATCTAGCTGTCTCACCTGTATGGGTCTAGCTGCCTCATCTGTATGGTTCTGCTGTCTCAGCTGTAGCAATCCTACTGTATTAGCTATAGCAATCTTACTTTCTTAGCTGTAGCAATCCTACTGTCTCAGCTGTATAACTCTTGTTGTTTTCACACTGAGGCTACAAAAAAATTGTCAGTCTATTGACCCCCCCCACATTTTTTTACTACAGGCTGTGGGGACCGAGGCCTGCCTCCCAATATTGTCAACATGATGGCACACCTGACATATGCAGTTGTCTTCTGCTGGCTTTTCTCTATTTCACATGGTAGAGCACTTTAATATGAAATGGTTTGGTCACCTAATGAGAATGGAACCAACGATGCCAGCATCAAGAGCATACAACATGAAAATCGAAACAACAAGAGGCAGGGGAAGACCAAGAAAAAGATGGATTGAAGGAGTCACGGACAACTTGAGACTTCATAACATCACGGCATATGAAGCGACTGAGCGCGCCCTGGCTCGGTTGCTGATCATCTGATAGACTGCGACGCCTAGCGGCACAAGCAGATTTTGACAAAAGAAGAAGAAGAGCACTTTAATTGTGCCTTGATGTATTTACTTCACTGTTATTTATGTTTTTGTACTTTTGTTTATTGTTGTTTGTGTTCGATCATAAGGCTTGTCACTGTAACATCTGATATATATTACCTGTACATTTGTAATTTTTGAAAAACTGTCTATACTCTGGTGTTTTTGGTTTGTTTACAGTAAAATTAAGGGTGTAGGCATCTGTAGTTTAGGCATTGTGAATGTTCTTCATAATGCCGAGATATCTTGTTCGATTCGGTCCACTGACAGTTTGGCAACATGGTGTTGAGAGACGACCGCAGTGCAGTGGTCAATTACTGAATGAAACAAAAAATACCCGGTGAAAAACAAACAGCCCAAACTAGGGTTGCTTCTGTACAGCAGTTTTCTCCAAGCTGCAACCCGTGATCTAAATCTAGGTGGGCTGCACAAAATTCTGCTTAATCATGTAAGGAGGTAGGGTAAGTGGTGTTTCTCTTGCGGTCTGTAGAATGAACACCGGAAGAACATCCTTTTTGTGTGAAAAGACTTTCTCAGCCATTTTTATGATGATAACCACATTAGCTCAATATTGTGATGTTGTGACATCAGATGTAACAGATAAACTCTATCTACGTTTGTTTTTGTTTCTGCGTGTCGTCAAGGCTGTCAGGTGGGTCGTAGGTGTAGAACACTGCTTCCAAGGATAAAACTAACTGTTATCTTGTTTTTCTTTGGTACTACTCACGAAAGTCATCCCATCTCGTCGGCAGCGAGATTTTATAAGGTTTCCTACGGGCTGTCCTATGTTTTAAGGGTGCCGAAAAGTGGCTTGGGTTCTTTTGACATGGCCGACGCACTGTCTCACAGACAAAAGTGCGCAAATTTTTTTTTTTTTTTGTCTTCGCCCTTTTTAGCATGCTTTCAGAGTGTGTGTATCTTGTTCTCTAGCCCCCGGCAAACTGCAGTGACCGCCTCCACCTCCATTCTCATGCTAGATGTCATGGTATCATATTCCTGGCTGTTCTCCACTAAAGATTTTCCATTGGCTTTTGCTACGAAACCCCAGGCACTTCTCTTCCCTCTTAATACAGAACCACCTTTGTAGATAATCAGATCATCAGGACGAGAATTGTCGTCAATCAACTGTTGGAGTTCCACCTCAGTAGCCCCAGCTGGCCACTCTCTGCACTCATGGCCTAATGGGATCATGACCCTACACAGGTAAGACCTTTTCTCTGGTACTCTGACCCACTCCTCTCCTCGCCCAATGTTCTTCAGCATGCTTACCTGTCTTATTGTGTCTTCTGCTTGAGCCATTCGTGATTTTCTCCTTTTCAGACCTGATGCTTAACAGCATCCACAGCTTCATATAAAGGGTGTTCTTTGCAGTTACTCTGAGGTATGACTTAGCCTGCAGCAGCTTTAAGTAAAGTAAAGTAAAGGTCCCTTATTACGCCTTTGGCGCATCGGGTAATGGGCAGAGCGTCTAATATTTTTACAGACCAATCGGCACTGGATGGGTAATGTGGTCAGCATTACGTCGGCTGTCTTTACTTCCCCAGGACAGTCATCCTGGTACCCTTTTTAGGCTGGGTCAACCTGCGACGCCCCATACTACGATAAAAATCCACGCAGCCAGCAGTGGGTTTCGATCGTGGTACATTGGATTATGAGTCGGACTCGCAACGCCTTAGCCACGGACGCCGCAGCAGCAGCTTTAGCCTATCTGCAACAGTTGGCAGTGCAAAGATGTAACACGTGCACACAATCTTGGTGTCTCTTGTACATCCAAGGATCAGTATGTTAATATTATATAGATATTCTTTAGTGTCTCTCTTGATCTGACCACCCATTCTTACTTGTTTCAACATCTTGCCATGTAGTCTTGTGTAGTATCATTTAGCTGTTGGCTGTTGCTGTTTTGTTCTGACCATATGACCAAACCATTTAAGTCACTTTATTTTCTATGAAATAGCTTACCGGTATTGTGCTTACCATTATTCTTAGTTTATCGTTAATGATTGTGTATTTTCTTGATTTTGTTTTCCTGCCGCATTTTTTTATACATATAACTTTCATATTGTGTGCTAATCAACCAAGGGATATAAACACATGTCACAGTTACATTAAATTTGGTTATCTCCCTTAGCATAGTATCTCCTTCCGAAAGCTTTATCTCTAACCCAGTTTTTTCTACTGTGTGGTCGCATGGGGAACAAGTGGCGTATTTTCTACATCAGTGGTTTTCAACCTTTCTAATGCCGCGACTCTTTAATACAGCTCCTCATGTCGTACAATTATTTCCGTCGCTACTTTATAACTTCAATGAATATGTGTTTTGTGATGGTCTTTGGCGACCCTTGTAAAAGGGTCGTTCGACCCAAAAAAAGGGTCACGACCGATAGCTTGAGAACCGCTGCTGTACAGGATGTTGCAGAACCACAGCTGGAGTAAGAATATATGTGTCTCTATGCTTCATGGGCTACACAAAAAGACATAAAAATGTGAACCATGAAACTATAATCAAACTGTTAGGGCCGTTCATGACTCTGTGATGTCCCAAGCACTTCCGTTCATGACTCTGTGATGTCCCAAGCACTTCCGTTCATGACTCTGTGATGTCCCAAGCACTTCCGTTCATGACTCTGTGATGTCCCAAGCACTTCCGTTCATGACTCTGTGATGTCCCAAGCACTTCCGTTCATGACTCTGTGATGTCCCAAGCACTTCCGTTCATGAC